CAGATGGCGCTTTACCGCGCGCTCGTCGCCCCTCTCTATCCGGGCAAGACGGTGCGCACGCTTTTGCTTTTCACCGCCGGGCCGGCGATGATCGAAGTCTCCGGCGAGAGGCTCGCCTCCGCCTTGGCCGGTCTCGCACAATCGTGAGAATCGGCCTATAGGTACGGGCTTGAACATGCGTCCGATCCGGCCCACATGCGGGCCAGGACAAGAGAAGGAGGCCGCAATGGCGACCGTGAAGATCGATACCAGCAATTTCGAGGCCGATGTGCTCGGCGCCGACGAACCGGTGGTCGTGGATTTCTGGGCGGAATGGTGCGGCCCGTGCAAGATGATCGCGCCGGCGCTGGAGGAACTGTCCGGCGAACTGGACGGTCAGGTGAAGATCGCCAAGGTCAACATTGACGAAAATCCGCAGATCGCCGCGCAGTACGGCATCCGCTCGATCCCGACGCTCTACATGTTCAAGGGTGGCGAAGTCGTCGACCAGATGGTCGGCGCCGTGCCCAAGGGCAAACTGTCGGACTGGATGAAGGGCGCCATCGCCTGAGGCCGGCTGCACGGATTTTCACGAAAACCCGGCCCTTGCGCCGGGTTTTTTGTGCCGGCTACCGTGGCGGCGTGCCGTTGTCGCGCAGAACATCGCCGGCCAGATAGAGCGAGCCGCATATCAGGATACGCGGCGGACGCTCCAGGCCGTTCCAGCTTTCAGCCAAAAGACGGAGCGCGGCGGAGACGTTTTCCATCGGCTCCGCCGAAAGGCCGGCCTCGAGCGCCTGGTCGGCGAGAAAGCCCGGATCGACACCGGCATCGCTGCCCGGCACCGGAACGGTGAAGACATGCCGGACGAGGCCCTCGAACACGCGGAAATAGCCGACGGCATCCTTGGTGTTGAGCATGCCGGCGATCATGAACAGCGGCCGCTCGACCTGTTCCTCGCGTGCGGCGAGATGCTCGGCGGCCATCGCCGCGCCGTCGGGATTGTGGCCGCCATCGAGCCAGATCTCCGCCCCCTTTGGTGCAAGCGCCACCAGATCGCCTTCGGTCAGCCGCTGCAACCGCGCCGGCCAGTCGACCGTCTGCATCGCGCGCTCGGCGGCCGCCTCGGTCAGGGAAAAACCGCCGGCGCGCAGCGCGGCGATGGCCGCGGCGGCGTTGGAAAGCTGGTGCCGGCCCCGCAGCGCCGGCAAAGGCAGATCAAGCAAACCGTCGGTGTCCTGAAAGACCAGCCGGCCATGCTCCTCGAAGGCGATGAAATGCTCACCATAGATGTGCGCGTCGCAGCCCAGAGCTTCGGCGCGCGTGACCAGTTCGTCGCGCGCCTCCGGATGAGGCTGGGCGCCGATGACCACCGGCGCGTCGGGTTTCATGATGCCGGCCTTTTCGCCGGCGATCAGTTCGACCGTGTCGCCGAGATAGGCCTGATGGTCGAGACCGACCGGCATGATGACGCTGACCGCCGGCCGGTCGATCACATTGGTGGCGTCGGCGCGGCCGCCAAGACCCACCTCGATGACTGCCGCATCGGCCTTGTGTTCGCTGAACAGGACGAACATGACCGCCGTCAGGATCTCGAAGACAGTGATCTTGCGGCCGTCATTGGCGTCGGCGACGCGGCGCACCGCATCTGCGAGCACTGCATCGTCGACCAACGTGCCGGCCAACCGGAACCGCTCGTGCCAGCGCACGAGGTGCGGCGAGATGTGAACGTGGGTGCGATGGCCGGCGGCCTCCAGCAGCGCGCGGCAGAAGGCGGCGCACGACCCCTTGCCGTTGGTGCCGGCGATGTGGATCACCGGCGGCAGCGCCGTGTGCGGATCGCCGAGCGCGCCCAGCAGACGGCGGATGCGGCCGAGCGACAGGTCGAACCCCTTCGGATGCAGGGCCATTAGCGCCTCGATGGCGCGGGTGGCTTCGTCGGGCGATACCAGTTCGGTGCCCGGCGCGGCGGGCGGATGATGATCGCTTGCCATGGCCGCGCTCCGTCAGAAGCTGGGCGAAGGCTTTTGGGGCGTCGCCTCGGCCGGTTCGAGAATTTCGGTCTCGACGGCACCTGTCGTCACCGCCGCATCTTCGGGATCGGCGACCGGCACCGTGTCGACCGAGCCGGTCTCGTCCATCACCGCGGCCTGCCCGACCGTTTCGGTCGCAGGCACGTCCTGTTTGGTCAGGATGCGAAGCAGGCGGGCGATGGTCGCCCTCAGTTCGGTGCGCGGCACGACCATGTCGACCATGCCGTGATCGAGCAGATATTCGGAACGCTGGAAGCCCTCGGGCAGCTTTTCGCGAATGGTCTGTTCGATGACCCGCGCGCCGGCAAAGCCGATCACCGCGCCCGGTTCGGCGATGTGAATGTCGCCCAGCATCGCATAGGAGGCCGAAACGCCGCCGGTGGTCGGATTGGTCAGGACGACGATGTAGGGCAGGCCCGCCTCCTTCAGCATTTCGACGGCAACCGTGGTGCGCGGCAACTGCATCAGCGACAGGATGCCCTCCTGCATGCGCGCACCGCCGGATGCGGCGAACAGCACCATCGGGCATTTCTTTTCGATGGCCGTCTCAAAGCCGCGAATGATCGCTTCGCCGGCCGCCATGCCGAGCGAGCCGCCCATGAAGGTGAAATCGTGCACTGTGGTGACGATTTCCATGCCCTCGAGCTTGCCGGTGGCGTTGATGATGGAATCCTCGAGACCGGTCTTCAGCCGGTTCTCGCGCAGCCGGTCGGAATACTTCTTCTGGTCCCGGAAACGCAGCGGGTCCTGCGCCACCTCCGGATTGGCGATCTCCTGGAACGCGCCGCCATCATAGAAATGGGTGAGCCGCTGGCGCGCGGCGATCTTCATGTGGTGTCCGGAGACCGGGATCACCCACTGGTTTTCCTCGACATCGGCGTGAAACACCATCTCGCCGGTCTCGGGGCACTTGATCCAGAGGTTTTCCGGCGTCTCGCGCCGCCCCAGCATGGAGTTGAGGCGCGGACGGACGTAGTTGGTGATCCAGTTCATGACCGATTCCCGTTTTGGGCCAATGTGGACCGGCTATTCGGCAGCTTCAAGGCGCGCGGCGCGGACGCCTGCGGCCAGGCCGCCCACCAGCGTCGTGACGGCGGCGACCGTGTCGGACGTCGAGCCGCCATCGCCGTCCAGCGAATTGACGATGGCCTGGACGATCGCCGTGCCGACCACCACGCCGTCCGCATCGCGACCGATCAGCCGGGCCTGCTCGGCGGTCTTGACGCCGAAGCCGACACAGACCGGCAAGGGCGTATGGCCCTTGATACGGTTGACCGCCTCGCCGACCGCGCCGGCGTCGGCGATGGCCGATCCGGTGATGCCCGTCATCGAGACGTAATAGACAAAGCCGGACGTGTTGGCGAGGACGGCCGGCAGGCGCTTGTCGTCGGTCGTCGGGGTCGCCAGCCGGATGAAGCTGATGCCGGCCTCAAGCGCCGGAATGCACAGTTCGCCATCCATTTCCGGCGGCAGGTCGACGATGATCAGACCGTCGATTCCGGCAGCGTTCGCATCGTCGAGGAACCGGTCGACACCATAGATGTAGACCGGATTGTAATAGCCCATCAGGACGATCGGCGTATCGGTATCGGTCTTGCGGAAGGCTTTGGCCATCGCCAGCGTACGGGCCAGCGTCTGCCCGCCCTTGAGCGCGCGTTGTCCCGCCATCTGGATCGCGGGCCCGTCGGCCATCGGGTCGGAAAACGGCATGCCGAGTTCGATGATGTCAGCGCCCGCTTCCGGCAGGGCCTTCATGATCGACAGCGAGGTGTCGTAGTCCGGATCGCCGCCCATAATGTAGGTGACGAGCGCGGGCCGGCCTTCATCGGCAAGCCGCGCAAACAGCGTGTCGAAACGGTTGGTCATGCGCTTTGCCCCGATTTGCCGACGACTTCGCCGTCTTCCTTTGTGAAGGTGCCGACCTTGTCGGCGTTCGGCAGCACGTCCAGCACCTTTTCGGACGGGCGCGACAGGACCGTTCCGAGCGGCGTGACGACGATCGGCCGGTTCATCAGGATCGGGTGCTCGACCATGAAGTCGATGAGCTCGTCATCGGTCCATTTGGGATCATCGAGCCCGAGTTCCTCATAGGGCGTGCCCTTCTTGCGCAGCACTTCGCGCACTGAAAGACCGGTGGCCGCGATCAGCTCGACGAGCTTGGCCCGGCCCGGCGGTGACTTCAGATATTCAATCACCTCGGGCTCCTCGCCGGACGCGCGGATCATCGCCAGCGTGTTGCGGGAGGTGCCGCATTTGGGATTGTGGTAGATGGTGATCGTGCTCATTTCGGCACCTCCGGGTGATCGAAGCGTTCGCCGTTGTTCCAGCCAACGGCCGAATTGCCGTGTGCGGGAATGCCGCCGGCGTCATCCAGCATCTTTGCCAGATGCATCAGGTTCCAGGTCATGAACGTGGTGTTCCGCCGCGTGAAGTCGTTGTCGAGACCGGCGCCATTGTCGCCATAGGAATCGCCCGGGCCGGCCTCGCCGATCCAGCCCGAATCGGCCTGCGGCGGCACCGTGTAGCCGATGTGCTGAAGCGCATAGAGACACGTCATCGACGCGTGCTTGATGCCGTCCTCGTCGCCGGTGACCATACAGCCCCCGACCTTGCCGTAATAGATGTACTGGCCGGCATTGTTGCGCTGGCCCGCATGGGCGTAAAGCCGTTCGATGACGACGCGGCAGACGGACGATTCCTCGCCGAGCCAGAGCGGTGTACCGAGCACGAGAATATGCGCATCGCGCACCTTCGGCCAAAAGATGTCGGGCCAGTCGTCGTGATCGGCGCCGTGGTCGCGCATGTCCGGCATGATACCGAACGCGATCCGGTGATCGGCGGCGCGCAGATAGTCCACCGTGACGCCGTTCCTTTCCATGATCGCCATGGAGTTGCGCATCAGCCGTTCGGTGTGGCTCGGCCCCTGGGCGGTCGATTTCAGCGTCGTGTTGATGAACAGGGCTTTGAGGCCGGCAAAGTCGACCATCGTCACATCTCAAATCCCAGCCGCTTGCCGACGGCGAAGACGTCCTTGTCGCCGCGGCCGCACAGATTCATGACGATGATCTGGTCCTTGCGCATCTTCGGTGCGCGCTTGATCACCTCGGCGAGCGCGTGGCTGGGTTCGAGCGCCGGGATGATGCCCTCGATCTTCGACAGGAGCTGGAAGGCTTCGAGCGCCTCGGTGTCCATGATCGGCACATAGTCGACGCGGCCGGTGTCCTTCAAATAGGAATGTTCGGGGCCGATGCCGGGATAGTCGAGGCCGGCCGAGATCGAATGGCCTTCCTCGATCTGTCCGTCGCCGTCCTGCAGAAGATAGGTGCGGTTGCCGTGCAGCACGCCGGGCGAACCGGCGGTCAGCGAGGCGCAGTGCTCGTCCGTGTCGAGCCCCTTGCCGCCCGCTTCGACGCCGACCATCTGCACATTGCGGTCGTCGAGGAACGGATGAAACAGGCCGATCGCGTTGGAGCCGCCCCCGACGGCGGCGACCAGCATGTCCGGCAGCCGGCCCTCGATTTCAAGCAGCTGCTCCCTGGCCTCCTTGCCGATGACCGACTGGAACTCGCGCACCATCTCCGGATAGGGGTGCGGGCCGGCGGCGGTGCCGATGATGTAGTAGGTGCTCTCGACATTGGTGACCCAGTCGCGCAGCGCCTCGTTCATGGCGTCCTTGAGGGTGCCGTTTCCGGCCGTCACCGGGGTCACCTCGGCGCCCAAGAGCTTCATGCGGAAGACGTTCGGTGCCTGCCGGTCGATGTCGGTGGCGCCCATATAGACATGGCAGGGAAAGCCGAACCGCGCGGCGACCGTGGCCGAGGCCACGCCATGCTGGCCGGCGCCGGTTTCGGCGATGATCCGCGTCTTGCCCATGCGCTTGGCCAACAGGATCTGGCCCAGGCAATTGTTGATCTTGTGCGAGCCGGTGTGGTTCAGCTCGTCGCGCTTGAAGTAGATTTTCGCGCCGCCCAGATGCTCGGTCAGCCGCTCGGCGAAATAGATCGGCGAGGGCCGGCCGGTATAGTGCGTGTTCAGATGCTGCAATTCGGCCTGAAACTCCGGATCGGTCTTGGCCTGGTTCCACTTGTCCTGCAGGTCGAGGATCAGCGGCATCAGCGTCTCGGCGACGAAGCGGCCACCGAAAATGCCGAACATGCCCTGCTCGTCAGGACCTGTGCGAAAAGAATTGGGTTCAGGTGGCTTGTTCATCGTCAAACTCCCAAAGCGGCGGTCTGCCGCTGTTCGCGCGCCTCGGCGACCGCCAGAAAAAACGCCTCGATCAGGCCCGCGTCCTTGATGCCCGGCGCGCTTTCGACGCCCGAGGACACGTCGATCCCCGGCGGGCCGGCGATCCCGAGCGCCTCGCCCACATTGCCGGCATCGAGCCCGCCGGACAGCATATAGTCCGTGTCCGCGTCAAGCGAAGCCAGGAGCGACCAATCGAAGCTGACGCCATTGCCTCCGGGAAGGTCCGATCCTTTTGGCGGATTGGCGTCGAGCAGGAACCTGTCGGCGACGCCGCGATAGGCGTCCAGCTTTTTCAGGTCATCGCGATCGGAAATGGCGAACGCCTTCATCACCGGCAGGCCATGGCGCGCCCTGACCGCGGCGACCCGTTCGGGGCTTTCGCTTCCATGCAATTGCAACATGTCGGGCCGGACCGTCCGGACGATCCGGTCAAGCTCGGCGTCGTCCGCATCGACCGTTACGGCGACCGTCACAACGCCGGCCGCCTTGGCCCGCGCTGCCAATGGCGCCGCATCGTCCGGCGTGACATGGCGCGGTGATCTCTCGAAGAAGATGAAGCCCGCATGGCTCGCGCCGCCGGCTGCCGCCGCGTCGACGGCGTCCGGTGTCGAAAGTCCGCAGATCTTGATGTCGAGGCTCATGCAGGCGCCTTAGCGCGCACGGTTCAGCGAGTCGAGCATTTGATCAGCCCGGCGCCATGCCGGACGAGGTCGCCGACTGGTCGATCTATTTCTGAAAGAGAACAAAATTGACTCTTTCCAATACTTGGATCACCCTCAGAATGTTTCTGTTAAAGGAGATTTGGTCCATGCCTAAAAGAGAAATCACTGCACGAAAGCTGATTGGCGAAAAGCGCTATGCCGAACTCAAAGAGCGCTACGATGCGTTTGTCGGTCAGGCGATCGTCGACAAACTCGTGGAACCGGACATGCTGTCGGGCTTCCCTCCCTTGGGGATTCACGCCGAAGGGCCGCACTACGAGCAGGAAGGCGGCGATTACGATCAGTCCACCGGCGGCAATCACAGCCAGACCGGCGGCGGCAGCTACAAGCAAGCGGCTCCCAAGACCGAAGAGTTCCGCTAAGCCGGCCGCGCCACAATGCCCCCTGGTCTGACCGGCGCGGCCGCGACGCGACGCCATGCGGCCGTGCCCTCGATCCGGACGCTTCAGGTCGTGTTGAAGGTGGCCGAGCGCTGCAACATCAACTGCAGCTACTGCTATTATTTCAACATGGGCGAGACATCGGCGCTGGACCGTCCGGCGCTGATCAGTCTCGATACGGTGGCCTCGCTCGCGCGCTGGATACGTGAGGGTTGCGCGGAACTGGGCATCGGGCGCGTGATGGTCTCGTTCCACGGCGGCGAGCCGCTGCTCCTCAAGCCCGCGCGCTTCTCCGCGGCGTGCACGCTCCTGCGCGAAACGATCGAGCCGGTCGCCAAGGTTTCCTTTGCCGTGCAGACCAACGGCACGATTCTCAGCCGGCAATGGCTCGATATCTTCGCCGAGCACCGCATCCATGTCGGCGTCAGCATCGATGGCGACCGCGGCGCCAATGACCGTTTCCGCCTGACCAAGGACGGACGGTCTACCTTCGACACGGTCGACGAGACGATCCGGACCTTGGTTGCCTGGTCCGGCGGCAATCAGGCTCTCGGCCCGTCGACGATCTCCGTTCTTGATCATCGCAACGACTATGGCGCCATCTATCGCTACCTGCGGTCGCTCGGCATCATGAACATGAGCTTTCTCCTGCCCGACCGCAGCCACGATCAGGGGTTCAGTGCCGACGATGGCGATGCGGAGAGCTATGGCCGGTGCCTGTCGGATCTGTTCCAAGCCTGGTTCGCCGAGGACAATCCCGATGTGAATGTGCGGCAGGTCAAGGAGGTCATCCGGCATTTCCAGAACACGGAAAAAGGCCCGCCCGAACCGCCGGGCGAAGACAAGATCGCCTACCAGATCATCGTCGCGCAGAGCGACGGAACCGTGTCGGTCGACGATTCGCTCATCCCCGCCCTTGACTGGTTCAAGGGCACGCCACGCGTGGCCATCGCGGACACGTCGCTGCCCGACTTCCTCGCCGATCGGGTTTTTGGAGAGATCCGGCGCGCAAACAACACGATTGCCACCGCCTGCCGAGACTGCGATTGGCGCGGCATGTGCCGCAGCGGCGATCTCGAAAACCGTTACGCCGACGGCTTGGGGTTCGACAATCCGTCCGTCTACTGCAGCGGTTACCAGCGGTTTTTCACCGACGTCTGTGGAACGCTGCTTGCCAACAACTATCCGGTCGATCTGCTGGAAGATCGCATCGAGCAATCATTCGCCGCGGTCGACGCGCATGTTTGAATGAAGCTTGGCGTGGCCGGCACGGTGGGGCCGGTCAGAACACGATCGACTGCAGTTTCGACCCGTTGCGCTTGAGCCAGGCCTTGCAGCGCTTCGTGTCCGGGCAGAGCTCCTCGCACAGCGCCCAGAAGCGCGCACCGTGGTTCATCTCGCGCAGATGCGCCACCTCGTGGGCGACCAGATAGTCGATCACCCGCGGCGGCGCCATGGCGATCCGCCAGGAAAAGGACAGGTTGCCCTCCGACGAGCACGACCCCCAGCGGCTGACCGTGTCCTTGAACCGGACCGCGCGCGCCGGCCGGCCGACGGTGGCGGCATGGCGGGCCACCAGCGGCTCGATGCGCTCCCTGGCGGTCTTCTTCAGAAAATCGGCGACACGGCGCGGCAAATGTTCCGGCGCGCCGAAGACGACCAGTTCGGGGCCGTTCGCCCCGTCCTCGATCCGCGTGACGCCGCGGCCGGGCCGGTGGACGATCAGATGGTTGACGCCCAGAACCGGCAGCTTGATGCCCGGCCGCACCTGCGGGCGATCGGGCATCTTGGCGATCTTGCCGGCGAGCCAGCCCTCGTGACGGGCCAGAAACCGGTCGATCTCCGCTTGCGCCATGCCGGGCGGCACGGTGACCTTCAGACCGCGATCGCCGGGCTGTATGCGCAGCGTCAGCCGCTTGGCGCGGGGGTTTTCGACGATCGAGAGCGGCAGCGTCCGGCCAGCCACCTGGTGGCTGTCCGGACGTTGCTCGTGTCGGTGCCGTGCGCGCGTCAGGCCGAAAACCATGGGGTGTTCATAGCGTGATTCGGCGGCGCGCCTAACAGCGAAACCGGACCTGCGCGAAGCAGCTCCGGCCGGCCCGCCAACGCCGAGAGAGGTCCCGACGTCGCGGTTTGTGTGCCGGCGCCATCACAGGACGGCGCCCGGTTCTTTGCGTATCAGCTCTCGTCCGATCCCTTGACGTTCGGGACCGAAGTGCCCTTGGCGCCATTGCCGGCGTCGGCATCCATGTCGCGACCGCGTGCCGCCATGAACTGGTCGAATTCTTTCTGGTCCTTGGCGCGGCGCAGTTCGCGCAGATAGTCGTCGAACTCCTTGCGCATTTCGTCGAGCTTGCGGCGCTCTTCCTCGATGCGCTTGAGTTCGGCATCGCGCCAGTCGTCAAAGGCGACGTTGCCGGTGCGCGGTGCCATGTTGGCGGAACGGCCGCAACGGCTCCAATTGCGGGACATGGCATCGGTGGCGCGGTTGACGTCACCCTTCCAGCCATCCAGCCGGTCGCCCCAGAGAATGTAGGCCAGCATCGCCAGGCCCAGCGGCCAGAAGACGATGAAACCCAGCACCATCAGGCCGATGGTGGCCGGCGTCCACGCGGGACGGATCAAGGCAGTCTGTGTCATGTTCGAACACCCCATTTTTGCCTGGCGATAAAGGCTCGCCACGATTTTGAGGTGGTGACCGAAAGCCCGCACTGCAAGCGCTTTCGGCCGCTTTTTCGACAGACAATCGTTAAATTTTGTTCAGATTCAGCGTTTTGCCAGCGCCAGAAAATGCACCGCGAGACCCAGCATCAGGCCCCAGAAGGCGGCGCCGATACCGAAAAAGACAATGCCTGAGGCGGTGATGGCAAAGGTGGTCATCGCCGGAATGCGGTCGCGTTCCTCGGCGACGGCAATGCGGGTGGAGTTGGCCAGCGGCCCGAGCAGCGCGATGCCCAGAACCAGCGCAATCAGCGAGGCGGGCAGCACGGTGACAAGCGCCACGAACGAGGCGCCGAACAGCGCGAACACGATATAGATGAGGCCGTACCAGATGCCCGTGACCCAGCGCTTGTGCGGATCGGGATGGGCGTCTTCGCCGGTGCAGATGGCCGCGGTCACGGCGGCGAGATTGGTCGATGAGGCGCCCAGAAAGCCGGTCAGTGTCGAGAAGACGCCGGTGACGGCGATCACCGGCCCGGCCGGCGGGCGATAGCCGTCGGCGCGGAGCACCGCCAGGCCGGGCAGGTTCTGCGAGGCCATGGTGACGACGTAGAGCGGTACGGCGAGGCCGAAGAACGAGCCGACCGATATCTCCGGCACGACGAAGGCGAGCGACGAGGTCTCGATGGTGATGTCGCCTTCGGTCATGCCGCCAAGCAGCGCCCAGGCAATGCCGACGAACAGCACGCCGATCACCGCCAGCTGCGCGTCATAGGTGCGCAGCACGAAAAATCCGGCGGCCAGCGGCAGGATGAAGGCCGGATCGATGGTGGCCGCCTGCGCGCCGGCGACGACGAAGGGCAAAAGGATGCCGCCGAGCATGCCGGCGGAGATCGCGCCGGGAATGGCTTCGACCAGCCGCATCAGCGGCCGGAACAGGCCGGTGGCGATCGTCAGGAGCCCCGCCGCGACGAAGGCGCCGACCGCTTCGTTCATGGAGTATCCCGTGCTTGCCGTCACCAGCGCCAGGCCGGCGATCGACCAGGCGGCGATGATCGGCATGCGAAACCAGATGGTCAGGATCAGGGTCTCGATGGCCACCGCGATGCATATTGCGGTGATCCAGCTTGCCGTCTGGGCCTCGGTTGCGCCGACAGACTGGGCTGCGCCAAGCACCAGCGCCATCGTGCCGCCGAAGCCGACGAATGAGGCGACGAGCGCCGCCGACAGGGCCGAAAAACGAAACATGGTCAGCCCTGGCCGCCTCCCTGGCCGCCGGACTTGCCCGCAAGCGCGCCGGCGGCATCGAGCATCATGGCGATGTCCTGCGGCCGCGACAGGCGGTGATCGCCATCCTTGACGTAGCTGATCACCGCATCGTCCTTGGACAGAAGCTCGAACAGACGCTGCGCATGCTGCCACGGCACGTCGGGATCGGCCTGGCCCTGAATGATGCGCACCGGGCAGTGTGTGTCTATGGGCCCGGTCATGACGCGGTTGTTGCGGCCATCCTCGAACAGGTCCCGCATGAAGATGTTCGGCTCGGGCCCGTATGGCGTCGGCTCGGCGAAATAGCCCTGCTCTTGCAGATCCCGCTTTTGCGCGCCGGTCAGCTTGGGCTCATGCAGCTCGCTGGTGAAGTCGGGCGCGGGCGCCAGCAGCAGCAGCCCTGCGATCGGATCGCCGACACCGCCCCGGTTGAGTTCGGCGACCATGCGCAGCGCGATCCACGCGCCCATTGACGAGCCGACAAGCACCAAGGGCGGCGCGCAGACGTTTTCGGTCACCGCGAGCGCCTCGCCGAGCCAGCGCGAGATCGTGCCGGCCCGGAAATCGCCACCCGACCGGCCATGGCCCGAATAGTCGAACCGGGTGCAGGCCATGGCGTGCTCGCCGCACCAGCGGTCCAGTTCGACGGCCTTTGTGCCGTCCATGTCGGATCGGTAACCGCCGAGCCAGACGAAGTTCGGCGCGCCGCCCGTGCGGTGGCACACGGCGATCTCGGCGCCGTCCACGGTCAGCGATTGTTCGTCCATCTCGCGCTCCTCCGGCGGTCCCTGCGCCATCGTCCGCCTTATGAGGGGTTGCATCGGACCTGTGAAGCCATCACATGGCCGAATGCGTCCGGCCGGATCAATGCAACAAACGGCCCAAGGCAGGTGATTTGCGGACACGTTCATGCTATGGACCTGCCGTCCGCACCCCGGCCAGCCGGCTCGGACCATGAACCCTTCCGGTCAATATCAAGGAGATTACGACCATTCGCAGACCATTCAGAGCGCCACCGCCGCAAAAGTCCGGCCCGCCCGCCAATGACGACATTCGCGATCCAGAAGTGCAGCTTATCGACGCCGACGGCGAAAACAGGGGCATAACCGAGACGCTCGAAGCGCGACGCATGGCCGAAGATGCCGGCCTCGATCTCGTGCTGATCTCACCCAACGCCAAGCCGCCGGTCGCCAAGATTCTCGATCTGGGCAAACTGAAATACGAACAGCAGAAGAAGGCGGCGGCCGCGCGCAAGAAGCAGAAGACCGTCGAGGTCAAGGAAGTGAAGATGCGCCCGAACATCGACACCCACGACTATGAGGTGAAGATGAAGGCGGTGAAGCGCTTCTTCGAGGATGGCGACAAGGTCAAGGTCACGCTGCGCTTCCGCGGCCGCGAGATGGCACACCAGCAGCTCGGCATGCAGCTTCTGCAGAAGGTGCGCGAGGAAGTCGGCGATATCTCAAAGGTCGAAGCCGAGCCCAGGCTTGAGGGGCGACAGATGATGATGGTTCTGGCGCCGAAATAGAGCGGCACACATCGCGCCATGCAATGAAGGCTCGCCGGCGGCGGGCCTTTTTTCCTGGCTGGCCGTTTCGTTCAGCCGGCCTTGCGGGCGGCGATCACCCAACCGGTCAGGCCGGTGCCGACAATATGTTCGCCATGCTCGTCGGCGCGGCCGGTCAGAAGGCCGCCGGCTTCGAGGGCGTCGAGCTTTCCGGCCAGTCCGCCCGACCGGTAGAAATTGTCGTTCAGTCCGATCACCAGAAAGCCGCCGGGACGGATCACACGCACGATCTCGTCGATCGCGTCCGGCCGGACATGGGCGGTCGAAAAGACGCCGACGCAGGCCGCGGCATCATAGGCGCCATCGCCGGCATCGAGCGGCGGCCGGTTCAGATCGGCCTCGAACAGCCGGCGATAGATGCCGGTCGCCTCGGCTTTCTTCAGCATGCCGGTGGAGAAATCGCAGCCATCGATCGCGCCGTATCCTGCCTGATGCAATGCGATGCCCGACAGGCCCGAGCCGCAGCCGACATCGAGCACCGCAACACCGGGCCCCGGCGCGAGCCGTTCGGCCAGGGCCTGTGCGCAGCGTGCCGGCTGGCGGTATTCGTTCTCGCCCAGTTCCTCGTCGTAGACCTCCGCCCAGCGGTCGTAGAGCGCCCGTGTCTCCTCATCGGTCCTGACCTGATAGGCCTTGTCCAGAAAGCGTTCCCGCCCGTTGGTCATCGCGCGTACCTCCCCACCGCCAAGGCTTGCATCCACAACGGTTTGAGTCTATAGGCGCGCGGTCCGAACCGTCCGGCAGGGCATGCCGTGGCGGTTCACGAATGCTGAACAGCCAGCACGTCATCGACAATCGAGCGAAGCGAGGCGGGATCGGCCGATCCCCGTTCGAATTTTCGAACGCCCTTGCGGAGCGCCTGCGAAAGCGGGCCGGCGTGAACGCGAACAATGGAGAGCAAAATGCCCAAGATGAAGACGAAGGCTTCGGTCAAGAAGCGCTTCAAGACCACCGCCTCGGGCAAGATCAAGGTCGCCCAGGCCGGCAAGCGCCATATGATGATCAAGCGGTCCAACAAGTTCATCCGCAACGCGCGCGGCACCATGGTGCTGTCCGAGCCGGATACGAAGATCGTCAAGAAGTTCATGCCCTACGGCCTGTGAGCCGTCACGCACCAGATTTGAAGGAGCCAAGACCATGGCACGTGTCAAACGCGGCGTGACCGCTCACGCCAAGCACAAGAAAGTTCTCAAAGCCGCCAAGGGCTATTACGGCCGGCGCAAGAACACCATCCGCATCGCCAAGCAGGCGGTTGAGAAGGCGGACCAGTACGCCTATCGCGACCGCAAGGCCCGCAAACGCAATTTCCGCTCGCTGTGGATCCAGCGCATCAATGCCGCCGCGCGCGAGCACGGCCTGACCTATGGCCGGCTGATCGACGGGCTGAACAAGGCCGGCGTCGAGATCGACCGCAAGGTGCTGTCAGACATGGCGATCCACGAACCGGCGGCATTCGCTGCCATCGCGGAAAAGGCCAAGGGCGAGCTGGCCTATCTGAAAGACACCACGCCCAACGCATTTGAGGCCGCTGTCCGCTAGGCCAGCGCGCTTCTCAACGCATCACCCAAGTTTGAGAACCCGCTTCTGGCCACCGCCGGACGCGGGTTTTCTTTGTCGCCGGACTGTGAGAAACGAACCGCCGGACAGATAGGGAAACCGTCATGAACGAAACGGCCCGACCCGAGATCGATCAGCTTGAACGGACGCTGATGGCCGACATCGCCTCGGCCGCCGACGAGGACGCCATCGAACAGGTGCGCGTTGCGGCAATCGGCAAGAAAGGCGCGGTCTCCGAGCGCATGAAGACGCTCGGCAAGATGAGCGCCGAAGAGCGCCAGGTGATGGGCCCGGCGCTGAACGGGCTTAAGGTCCGCGTGACCGACGCGATCGCGGCCCGCAAGGCCGAACTGCGCGACGCGGCGATCGAGGCCCGGCTGGCGACCGAGACGGTCGACATCACGCTTCCCGTCCGTCCGTCGCCCGCCGAGACCGGCCGCATCCATCCGATCAGCCAGGTGATCGACGAGATCACCGCGATCTGCGCCGACATGGGGTTTGCCGTTGCCGAAGGCCCCGATATCGAGACCGACTATTACAACTTCACGGCGCTCAATTTCCCCGAGGATCATCCGGCGCGGGAAATGCACGACACGTTCTTCATGGCGCCGGACGCAAACGGCGAGCGCAAGGTGCTGCGCACGCACACCTCGCCAGTCCAGATCCGCACTATGGAAGCGCAGGAGCCGCCGATCCGCATCGTCATTCCCGGCAAGACCTACCGGCACGATTCCGACGCCACCCATACGCCGATGTTCCATCAGCTGGAGGGACTTGTCGTCGACAAGGTGACGACGGTCGCGCACCTGAAATGGACCATCGAGGAGTTCTGCAAGGCCTTCTTCGAGGTGCCCGACGTCGCCATGCGGTTCAGGCCGTCCTACTTCCCGTTCACCGAGCCGAGCCTGGAGGTGGACATTCAGTGCGACCGGTCAAAGCCCGGCGAAGTCCGGTTCGGCGAGGGCAATGACTGGATGGAGATCTTGGGTTGCGGCATGGTGCATCCGAACGTTTTGCGCGCCGGCGGGCTCGATCCGGACGTCTATCAGGGCTTTGCCTGGGGCATCGGCATCGACCGGCTGGCGATGCTGAAATACGGCATGCCGGACCTGCGCGCCTTTTTCGACGCCGATGTGCGCTGGCTGAAACACTATGGCTTCCGGCCGCTCGACATGCCGACCCTGTTCGGAGGATTAAGCCAATAGCGGCGAACCTGCCGCGCCGGCCGCTGACCAACGCCTATCGAAAGCAAAAACGATGAAATTCACATTGTCCTGGCTCAAGGACCATCTCGACACGGATGCAACGCTTGCCGAGATCACCGAGGCGCTGACCATGATCGGCCTCGAGGTCGAGGCGGTGGACGACAAGGCGCAGTTCGCGCCGTTCACCATTGCGCGCGTGCTGACCGCCGAGAAGCACCCCGACGCCGACAAGCTGAAGGTGCTGACGGTCGATGCCGGCGACGGCAAGCCTGTTCAGGTGGTGTGCGGGGCGCCCAATGCGCGGGCCGGCCTCGTCGGCGCGTTCGCCGCGCCGGGTACCTATGTGCCGGGCATCGATCTGGAACTGTCGGTCGGCAAGATCCGCGGCGTCGAGAGCCATGGCATGATGTGCTCGGAGCGCGAGCTTGAGATGTCGGACGAGCATTCCGGAATCATCGACCTGCCCGAGGACGCGCCGGTGGGTACGCCTTTCGCCGCCTATGCGGGGCTCGACGATCCGGTGATCGAGATCGGCCTGACGCCGAACCGGCCCGACTGCACCGGCGTCCATGGCATTGCGCGCGACCTGGCGGCGGCCGGGCTGGGCACGCTCAAGCCGCTCGGCATCGAGCCGATTGCAGGCGACGGCGCATGCCCGATCGATGTGCGCATCGACGCGCCGGACCTGTGTCCCGGCTTCGCCCTGCGGCTGGTGCGCGGCGTCAAGAACGGCCCCTCGCCGCAATGGATGCAGCAGCGCCTGATCGCCATCGGCCTGAGGCCCATCAATGCGCTCGTCGATATCACCAACTATGTCACCTTCGGCTGGGGCAGGCCGCTGCACGTATTCGATGCCGCCAAGGTGACGGGCAACCTCGTCGTGCGCCGCGCCACCGATGGCGAGACAATTCTTGGCCTTGACGGCAAGGAGTACATGCTGACCGGCGAGATGTGCACGATCGCCGACGAGCGCGGACCCGAATCCATCGCCGGCATCATGGGCGGCGAAGAATCCGGCTGCGACGAGACCACGACCGATGTGGTCATCGAATCGGCGCTGTGGAACCCGCGCAATGTCGCGCGGACCGGTCGCGATCTGGGCATCATCACCGATGCCCGTTACCGGTTCGAGCGGGGTGTCGATCCGGAATTCATGGTGCCGGGACTGGAACTGGCGACACGCATGGTGCTGGACCAGTGCGGCGGCACGCCCACCGAAACGCGCGTGACCGGCTATGCCGGCCATCAGCCCAAGACGGTTGATTTCCCCTTTGCCGAGGTCAGGCGGCTGACCGGCGCCGATGTCGAAGCCGCCAAGAGCACCGACATTCTGGAACGGCTCGGCTTTGACGTGAACGGCAGGGGCGAGATCGCCAAGGTCACGGCTCCGTCATGGCGGCCGGACATTGAAGGCAAGGCCGATCTGGTCGAGGAAGTCATGCGCATCCATGGCGTGGGCAACATCGCGCCGCTGCCGCTTGAGAGCCATGGTGCGGTCAATGGGCGCGTGCTGACCGTCCAGCAGGTGCGCACCCGCGCTGCGAAGCGTGCGCTCGCCGCGCGCGGCATGATGGAAGCCGTCACATGGTCTTTCATTCCGGCTGCCCATGCGGCGGCGTTCGGCGGCGGCGCGGCCGCGCTGCAGCTTGCCAACCCCATTGCGGCCGACATGAGCGACATGCGCCCCTCGCTGCTTCCCGGCCTTCTGGCGGCGGCCCAGCGCAACGCCAATGTCGGCCATGGCGATGTCGCGCTGTTCGAGGTCGCGGGCACTTATGAAAGCGACACGCCGGACGGGCAGCGCAGGGTCGCCGGCGGCATCCGCCGCGGCACGGCGACGCTCACCGGCGCGGGCCGGGCATGGGACGGACACGCGGCGGCGGTCGGCGTGTTTGACGCCAAGGCCGACGCGCTGGCCGCGCTCGAAGCGTGCGGCGCGCCGGTCGACAAGCTGACGGTCGAGCGCGGCGCGCCGGACTGGTACCATCCGGGCCGTTCGGGGCTGATCAAGCTCGGCCCGAAGAACGTGCTCGGCCATTTCGGCGAACTGCATCCGCGCACGCTCGAAGTGCTCGACGTCAAAGGGCCGGTCTGCGGCTTCGAGATCTTCATCGACGCCCTGCCCGAACCCAAGCGCAAGGCGACACGCACCAAACCGCGCCTCGATCTGTCGCCGTTCCAGGCGGTGACGCGCGATTTCGCCTTCGTGGTCGATGCCGATGTGGCGGCGGGCGCCCTGCAGCGCGCGGTCGCCGGCGCCGACAAGCAGTTGGTGACGGGCGTGACGGTCTTCGACCTGTTCGAGGGCGCGGCGCTCGGCGAAGGCAGGAAGTCGGTCGCCGTCGAAGTGCAGATCCAGCCGACCGACCGAACGCTGACCGACGAGGACCTCGAAGCACTGAGCGGCAGGATCGTTGCCAGTGTCGAAAAGGCGACGGGCGGCGTGCTCAGGGGGTAAGGTTAGCCGCCGGTGCGTGTCTTGATCGTTCGTTGTCCGCGTTTCGAGTAAGCGCGGCTGCGATGCGCAAGATGGACGATCAGCACCACGGTCCCATCTCGTCGCAATAACTCACAGACGAGGCGGTAAGCGCCGCACCGCAGCTTCCGAAAGCCTTTCAGGTTGCCCGAATAGGGAACCAGGCGCTGTCGTGCGTCCTCAAGGCGGGACAATTCGTCCAGCGCCGCCTTGATGCGCCGCTGATCGGCGGTCGCGATCGCCAGAAGGTCGGTGACGGCATCGGGATGCCATTCAATCCGCAAGACCGACCCTCTTCCAAACCTCTTCGTTCGGCACCGGCTCGAAAGGCTCCGACAAACGACTGCGCACAGTGTAGAAATCCTCAAGCTCTTCGAGCTTGTCGATGATCGCCTGACGGATCAGATGGCTTGCGTTCAAACCATGCTCTTCGGACAGTTTATCCCAACGAGCCTTGATCTCCGCATCAACACGGATAGACATCGATGTCATGACCGGCCTCATGTGTGCATCATGTCATACATGTAGTACGATGCGTATCATTCTTCAATGAGCGCTTACCGGTTGCCGCCTGAGAAGTCCGAAGCCTGTACGGGCACCCTTGCTCCCCGCCGCCCGCTCTGACACAAGGCTGGCCTGCATCGGTCGGAGCCCGCCATGAACCTCATTCTCAACACCGACAGCTACAAATACTCGCACTTTGCGCAGTATCCGCCGGAGACGGCGGCGATCTCGGCCTATATCGAATCGCGGCGCGGCGGCGACTATGACGTGACGCTGTTCTTCGGCCTGCAAATGTTCCTCAAGGACTATCTGTCCAAGCCGGTCACGCTTGCCGACGTCGATGAAGCCGAGGCGATGATCACGGCGCACGGCCTGCCGTTCAACCGGCCCGGCTGGGATCTTTTGATCGAGCGCCATGGCGGCTATCTGCCGCTGATGATCGAGGCGCTGCCGGAAGGCTCGGTCGTTCCGGCCGGCACGCCGATGGTCCAGGTGCGCAACACCGACCCCGAATTTTTCTGGCTGCCGACCTTCATCGAGACCGCGCTTTTGCGCGCGGTCTGGTATCCGTCGACGGTGGCGACGGTATCGTGGCATGTGCGCCAGATGATCGCCGAAACGCTCGACAGGACCTGCGACGATCCGGGGCCGATCCTGCCGTTCCGCCTGCACGATTTCGGCGCGCGCGGCGCAACCAGCTATGAGCAGGCCGGCCTGGGCGGCGTCGCCCATCTGGTCAATTTCCTGGGCACCGATACCGTCGCGGCGCTCGTCTATGCGCGCAAGTTCTACGGCGAAGAGATGGCCGGCTTTTCGATCCCGGCCGCCGAGCATTCGACGATGACTTCATGGGGCGAGGAACGCGAGGCGGCGGCCTATGAGAACATGGTCGAACAGTTCGGCGGTGACGGCAAGCTCGTCGCTGTGGTCTCCGACAGCTACGATCTGTTCCGCGCGGTGCGCAACATCTGGGGCGGCGAACTGAAGGAAAAGGTCGAGAACATGGGCGGTACGCTGGTTGTGCGGCCCGATTCGGGTGATGCGACGCGCGTGCCCATAGACACGATCGAGATGCTCGGCGACATTTTCGGCTACCGCGTCAACGCCAAGGGCTACAAGGTGTTGGCCGATTGCGTGCGCGTCATCCAGGGCGACGGCATCACACCGCGCACCATCCGTGTGCTGCTCGAAGCGATGACCGAGCGCGGCTGGTCGGCGGAAAACCTAGCCTTCGGCATGGGCGCGGGGCTGTTGCAGAAGGTCAACCGCGACACGCTGCGCTTTGCCATGAAGGCCAATGCGCGGCAGGACAAGGACGGCGCCTGGCACGGCATTGCCAAGGACCCCAAGACCGATCCCGGAAAGGCCTCCAAGCGCTACCGGCAGGCGGTCGTCATCGACGATGGCGCTCCGGTGGCGATGCCGCTCAAGGATATTGGCGACCGTCAGAACCTGATGCAGCCGGTCTGGGAGAATGGCGAGCTTAAGCGCGACTGGACCTTCGCGGAGATCCGCGAACGAGCCAATCCCGCGCGAAAATAGGAGGGCCATCATGTTCCGTTGGGGGATTCTCTCGACCGCAAAAATCGCCCGTGATCAGGTCGTGCCGGCGATCATGCAGAGCGAGACCGGCATCGTGACCGCCGTCGCCAGCCGCCGGCCCGGTCCGGCGGCCGGTTTCGCGCGCCGCTTCAACATCGCACACGCGTTCGACAGCTATGAAGCGATGCTGGACAGCGATGCCGTCGACGCCGTCTATGTCCCGACCGTGACATCGACCCATGTCGAATGGGCGATCAAGGCCGCGAAGGCGGGTAAGCATGTTCTGGTCGAAAAGCCGCTGGCGCTCAAAGCCGAAGACATCGATCCGGTGATCGCGGCGCGCGATGCGGCCGGCGTGACCGTCTCCGAAGCGTTCATGGTCACTTATCATCCGCAATGGCTCAAAGTGCGGGCGCTGATTGCAGAAGGCGCGATCGGCACGTTGCGGATGGTCCAGGGTGCGTTTTCCTATTTCAACCGCGACGGAAGCAATATGCGCAACGTGGCCGATCTGGGCGGCGGCGCACTGCCCGACATCGGCGTTTATCCGACCGTCGTGACGCGCTTCGTGACCGGGCAGGAACCGCGCGACGTGGTGGCAACGATCGACTTCGATGCAAAATTCGGGACCGACATCTTCGCCAATGCGACGATGCGGTTCGACGGGTTCGATCTTGGCTTTTACCTCGGTACACAGCTCGCCCAACGCCAGTCGATGGTGTTTCACGGCGACAAGGGCTTCATCGAGGTCCAGACGCCGTTCAATGCGGGGCTTTACGATTCCGACCGGGTGACGCTGCACGGTGCCGACCACCGCGAGGCGCAGATTTTCGCCTTTCCGGGCGTCAACCAGTACCAGTGTCAGGTGGACGCTTTTGCCCGCCATGTGGCGGGATCGGGCGAAGCGCTGTTCACGCTTGAGAGTTCCCGCGCCAACCAACGGGCCATCGACGCAGTCTATAGGGCGGCGGAAAGCGGCGAGCGCACGCGCGTCTGATCACCACCAGACGCCGCCGCGACCGATGCGGATGCGCGGGGCTTGATCTGCGGGCGGATGTAGCGGACCGGCACAACCCGGACAATCGGCTTCGGTGGCGCCGACGACCGGCCCGACCGGTGGACGCGTCTCGGCAAAGGCCAGCCAGTCGCGCATCCGGCCCTGCTCGCGCCGGGGAATTTTCGGAACCGGCGAAACCCGTCGTCGCAGCGGAGCCTGACGGACAGTGGGATTGTCTGCCGGCGGCGTGCGCAGCAATGTCGGCTTGAGCGCCTGCAACCGTTCGACCCGCTCGGCGGTTGGGGGGTGCGAGCGCAGCATGGAAGGCTCGGCCATCCGGCCGGCGGGCAGCAACATCGCTTCGAGCCTGCGCCGATGGGCGCCCTCGAGCTTGACGAGGGCCGACGACAGGCCGTCCGGGTCACCGGTCAGCATGGCGGCACCATAGTCGGCGTCGAACTCGCGGGTGCGCGACAGTGCAAGCTGCAGCAGGCTGCCCACGGTCGGCGCCGCGATCATCGCCACAATGCCGAGCCAGGGCACGGTCGGAAAGAAGCCCGAAAGGTTGAACAGAACGGCGATGATGCCGATGGTCGACAGGGTCGATGTCAGCCGCGAGACGACATCGGCCAGGCTCATCACCTTGATGTCCTCGTTGCGGATATGCGTGATCTCGTGGGCCAGAACGCCGGCCAGTTCGCGTGTGGTCAGGCTCCGCACCAGCGCATCAGTCACCGCGATCGCCGATGCATCGCGCCGACCCACGGCAAACGCGTTCATCAGCGGCGACGGAACCACATGCAGATCGGGCGCTCGGGTCAGGCCGGCGCGACGCGAGAGCTCGGCGACGATGGCGTGGCCCGCCGGAAACCGGTCCGGCCCCACAGGCTTTGCCTTGTACATGCGCAGGACGACCGACGGCGAAACCCGCCGGGCAGCGAACAGGCTGACGCCCCCGAAGATGAGCGCGTAGACGATACCGGTCGTGCCGGCGATCGCCCAGGCCGTCATCGCAAGAAGGGCGAGCGAGCCGGCGACCAGCACGAATGTGTGCAGCCGGTTTGCGAAGCGGTGACGCCGATGGATGGCATGGGTCTGTTCGAAAAAGGCGAAGGCCATGGCGTTCATATGGGCGACGCCACGGCCGGTTTGGAGTCCCTGCTTTGGGCCCGATCTCAGCCCTTCACGCCGAACACGAACCGCGAATAGCCCAGATAGGAAAAGACGGTGACGCAGGCGACGGCAACGAATGTCGCCATTTCGGGCAGGAACCAGTCCGGCGTTGCCAAAAGGACCGCCGAATAGATCAGATAGTTCAACACCGCGCCGATGATGGCCACCGTGACATAGCGCGCGGCCTCATTGCCCACCGTCCTGCCGCTGGCACCGAAGGTGAAGGTCCGGTTGATCAGCCAGGTGGTCAGCATCGCCGCGCCAATCGCCGGGATGCGGGCGGCAAAAGGACCAAGGCCAGCCAGCTCGATCAGCCCGCGAAGCACCGCCAGATCGACGATGAAGCCGGCGCCGCCGGCGAAGGCGAAGCTGAAAAGCCGGCCGAGCCGGGTTCTGGCGGGCTGGACCGCCGGACCGCGGCCGGGCGCATCGGCATGTTCACCGGTCTGCTTCATGGAACCCTTCATACCGTGGCGGGGTAAACCAATCCTGTCGCGGCGTGTCGGCGCCGGCGATTGGCCGGGCCGGTTGGAGCGGAATGCAAATCGCGATAGACTCGGCAAGATTTGGGGGCGGAATCAGGCGACGGGGAGGCGGCGATGGGTGTTTTTGCACGATTTTCGATGCGAGCCCGGTTCAAACCGGCGCTGACCGGGCTTGCGGTTGTGGGACTTGCGCTAATGTGCGGCCTTGGCTCCACGCCGGCCCTGGCGGAAGAGCCGGCCAAGCAATTGTTCGGCAACACGCCGCTGCCGGCGGCGACCGAAGCCCGCGTCCACGGATTTTATTCCAGTGGCTGCATTGCCGGCGCGGTCGCGATGCCCGTCGACGGTCCGAACTGGCAAGCCATGCGGCTCGAGCGCAACCGCCGCTGGGGCCATCCGGACCTGATCGCGCTGGTGCAGCGCCTGTCGCGCGAGGCGGCGGCCGATGGCTGGCCGGGCCTTCTGGTCGGCGACATTTCCCAGCCGCGCGGCGGGCCGATGCTGTCCGGCCACGCGTCCCATCAGGTCGGGCTCGATGCCGACATCTGGCTGACAAAAATGCCGAACCGGCGCCTGACGCAGAGCGAGCGCGCCAACACCAGTGCGGTCTCGGTCCTCAAACAGGGCACGCTTAATGTCGATCCGGCGATCTGGACCGCAGAACATGCCAAACTGCTGCGGCGGGCAGCGTCCTACGGCGCGGTGGAGCGGCTGTTCGTGCATCCGGGCATCAAGCGGGCGATGTGCGACGCCTATGGCGCCGATCGCGGCAATGATCGCTGGATGATCAAGATCCGTCCCTATTACGGCCACCACTACCACTTTCATATCCGCATGAAGTGTCCGGCCGATTCGCCCAATTGCCGGCCGCAGGACCCGGTGCCTGCATCCGGCAATGGCTGCGATGCCTCGCTCGACTGGTGGTTCACCTCCGAACCCTGGACGCCGAAACCGCAGGCGCCGGGCACCAAGCCCCGGCCGCGCCGCGAAAAGACGCTCGCCGACCTGCCCAATGCCTGCCGGGGCGTGCTGCGCGCGCCGCGCCCGGCCTCGGAGAGCCTGGCGACCTATTCGGCGTCATTCGATCAGGTTGCGATGATCGCCTCAGCCGTTCCGATTGCCGACGCTGCGCCGGCGCGCGCGGCGCTTCCGGGACTGGCGCGCCTGCCGATACCCGCCGACCGGCCACGGCAGTAGATGGCGCGAAAAAAGATGCGAGCCCATCTTTCACGCGGACCCCGAAACGGTTAAGAGAAACACGTCTTCTAAATCGATTGAACCACCATGTCCGATGCCCTCACCATCGCCCTGGTCGCCCATGACCAGAAGAAGGACGACATGGTCGCGTTCGTCCGGCGCCATGCGCCGCTTCTGTCGCGCTGCAGCCTGGTGGCGACGGGCACGACCGGCGGACGCATTGCCGATGCCGATCCTGGGCTGGATGTATCGCGGCTCCGCAGCGGGCCGCTGGGCGGCGACCAGCAAATCGGTGCGATGATTGCCGAAGGCGCCATCGACTCGCTGATCTTCTTCGTCGATCCGCTGACGCCGATGCCGCACGATGTCGATGTCAAGGCGCTGATGCGGCTGGCGATCGTCTATGACATTCCCATGGCGCTCAATGCCGCCACCGCCGACATTCTTCTCACCGCGCTGATTGCGGGGCACACCCCGGCGCAAGACACGGAAAAGGCCCATGCCTAGCTCCTCCAGCACCAGCCACTTCGTTTTGCCGTTCCCGATCCTGATCGCCGATGTCGGCGGCACCAATGCGCGGTTTTCGATCCTCATCGACGCCAATGCCGAGCCGAAGGCATTTACGACCATCCGGACGCGCGATTTTCCGACGCTGGATGCCGCGATCCAGAGCCACGTGCTCGACCAGACCTCGCTGATGCCGCGCAGCGCCGTACTGGCGGTGGCCGGGCCGACCGACGGCGACACGATCGACCTGACCAACAATGACTGGGTGGTCCATCCGCGCCGGATGATCGAGGAACTGGGGTTCGACGATGTGGTCGTGCTGAACGATTACGAGGCACAGGCGCTCGCGGTCGTCGCGCTCGACGAAGGCAATCTGCAGCAGATCGGCGGCGGCGAACGCGACCCCGGCGCAAACCGCGTGGTTATCGGCCCCGGCACCGGCCTTGGGGTTGCCGGCTTGGTCCATGCCGCACTGACCTGGATTCCGGTCGCCGGCGAGGGCGGCCATGTCGATCTCGGCCCGCAGACCGATCGCGATGCCGAGATCTTCGCCCATCTCGAGCGGATCGAAGGGCGGGTCTCGGGCGAACAGGTGCTGTGCGGCAGCGGCATGGTCAATCTCTACAGGGCCGTCGCTCGCGCCAACGGCAACGAACCGCGCTTTTCCGACCCATCCGAGGTCTCACAGGCTGCCGAACAGAAGGCCGATCCGGACGCCGTCGAGACACTCGATCTGTTCGCCGAATATCTCGGCCGCGTGGCCGGCGATCTGGCGCTCGTCTTCATGGCGCGTGGCGGGGTCTATCTCACCGGCGGCATCACCTTGAAAATCCTACCCTTTTTCAATGCCGAGCGTTTCCGGACCGCCTTTGAGAACAAGGCCCCGCACGGCGAACTGGTCGGTGCCATTCCGACCTATGCCGTCTTGCACGACCGCGCGCCGATGGAAGGGCTTGCCGCCTATGCGCGCACGCCGTCGCGGTTCGGCGTGTCGCTGGAAAACCGGCACTGGACGCGCTGAGCGCCTGTCCACGCCCTATTGAATAGGCTATAGCGCGCGCCATGAACGACAGACCGGACACGGCCGCGATCAGGGACGGGCTTGGCGGAGGCGTCATCGCGGTTCTGCGGCGCATCCTGTCGGAAAACGGCCGCGCCTATGCGTGGCACTACGCAATCACCATCGTGTGCCTCGTCCTGATCGGCATGACCACGGCGTTCGTCGCCTGGATCACGCGCGACGTGGTCGACGAAATCTTCGTGCGCCAGCGCGGCGATTTGATCATCATAATTACGGGCACGGTGATCGGCGTCTTCCTTTTGCGCGGCATCGCCATGTATGTTCAGGCGGTGGTTCTGGCACGCATCGGCAACGATCTGGTCGCGCGCTACCAGAGCCGGGTCTTCGACAAGTTGATGAAGCTTGGCATCGGCTATTTCACCGAAGCGCGCTCGGGCCATCTGTCGGCCCGCATCGCCGAGAACGTCAACGGTATCCGCGACGTGCTGTCGCTGACGCTCACAGCGCTGGGCCGCGACCTGATCTCGCTGATCGGCCTTCTGGTCGTCATGGTGACGATGGACCCGATGCTGTCGCTGATCGTCTTTTCGGTCGCGCCGATCCTGATCCTGGCCGTTGCCTGGGTGTCGGCCCGCATTCGAAACGTGGTGCGCGAAACGGTCGAACTGAATGCGCGCGTTGTCGGCACGATGCAGGAAGCGGTACAGGGCATCACGGTGGTCAAGGCGTTCACCATGGAAGAGCGGCTGGGCGCGCGCATCGGTGCGATTATCGACGATGCAAGGTCGAAGGCCGACCGGCTCGCCGGCATCATCGAGCGGGTCAATCCGGCAGCGGAGGTCTTTGCCGGGCTCGCCGTCGCCGGCGTGATCGCCTATGCGGGCCTGCGAGCGGTCAATGAAGGCCAGCCGCCGGGCGCGACATTCGCCTTCATCACGGCGCTGCTTCTGGCCGCCGACCCGGCACGGCGCCTCGGCCAGCTCAAGGTCAATCTCGAAAAGTCGATGGTCAATGCGCGGATGATCTACGAGATCCTCGACATGCCGGAACGCCAAAGCGACCGCGCCGATGCAGCACCGCTGACGATCACCGAAGGCGGCGTGCGGTTCGAGGATGTCGACTTTGCCTATGGCGATGGCACCAAGGTGCTGCATGGGCTGACATTCGCCGCCCCGGCGCACAAGACGACGGCCATTGTCGGCCCGTCGGGCGCCGGCAAGACGACGATCATCGCCCTGTTGCAGCGTTTCTACGACATCGATGCCGGGCGGATCGAGATCGACGGCCAGGACATTGCCGGCGTGACGCTTTCCTCGCTGCGCGGCCAGATGGCGTTCGTCTCGCAGCAGCCCTATCTGTTCGAGGGCACGATCCGCCAGAACATCGGCTATGGGCGGCCCGATGCCACAGACGCCGAAATCGAGGCGGCGGCGCGGCAGGCCAATGCGCACGACTTCATCATGGAACAGGCGCAGGGCTATGACACGCCGGTGGGCGAGAATGGCGTGACCCTGTCCGGCGGCCAGCGCCAGCGCATCTCGATTGCCCGCGCGATCGTGCGCGACGCGCCGATCCTGCTGCTCGACGAGGCGACCTCGGCGCTCGACAACGAATCCGAGAAGCTGGTCCAGCAGGCGCTCGAAGACGTGATGGCGGGGCGGACCACGATCGTCATTGCGCACCGGCTTTCGACGATCGTCTCCGCCGACCGGATCGTCGTCATGGACAAAGGGGAGGTGGTCGAGACCGGCACTCATGCCGAACTTGCCAGCCGGAAGGGTGGCCTCTATGCCAAGCTGAACATGCTCGGCGCCGGGACCGATCCCGATGCCGCCGAGCCGATAATGGAGACGGATGCGTGAGCGAACCGGTTGCCATTGCCGTCGTCGGAGCAGGCGGGCGCATGGGCCAGGCGCTGATCGGTGCGATTGCGAACGATCCGGCGGCGCGGCTTTCGGGCGCGCTCGAGCGCGAAGGGGCCGATGCGATCCTGCGCGATGCGGGCGAAGTGGCGGGCCTGGGCGCCAATGGCGTAACCGTGACCGCCGACCCGGACGAAGCCTTTGACGGCGCCGATGCCATCCTCGATTTCACTGCGCCGGCAGCAACGCGGGCGTTCGCCGACATGGCCGCCCAAAAGGGCATCGCGCATATCATCGGCACCACCGGCATGAGCGCCGACGACGAGGCGCATGTGCATCTCGCCGCAGAACGCACGGTCATCGTCAAATCCGGCAACATGTCGATGGGCGTCATCCTTCTGTCTGTTCTCGTCGAGCGGGCCGCCGCAGCGCTCGAAGCATCGGATTGGGACATCGAGGTGCTGGAGATGCATCACAAGCACAAGGTGGATGCACCGTCGGGCACCGCGCTGCTGCTCGGCCAGGCCGCGGCGACCGGGCGCGACATCGATCTGGACCAGAATTCGGTGCGCATGCGCGACGGCCACACGGGTCCGCGCGCCGCCGGCGCGATCGGTTTCGCGACGCTGCGCGGCGGCTCGGTGGTCGGCGATCATTCGGTGATCATGGCCGGGCCGGGCGAGCGGCTTGTCCTGTCCCATCATGCCGAGGATCGCGGTATCTTCGCCCGGGGCGCGGTCAAGGCGGCGATCTGGTCGCGCGGCCAGGCGCCGGGGCTCTATTCCATGCGTGACGTTCTGGGCGTCAGCTAATTCAGTCAACCGACTTGGGGAGAAAGCCGATGTCCGGTACGATGGTTCTGGTCCGCCACGGACAGAGCGAATGGAACAAGAAGAACCTGTTCACCGGCTGGCGCGATCCGGACCTGACGGAGCAGGGCGTGGCCGAAGCGATCGAGGCGGGCAAGGTGCTGGCCGAACGCGGCATGAAATTCGACATCGCCTTCACGTCCGTGCTCGTGCGCGCTGAACGCACCTGCCAGATGATCCTGGACGGTGTCGGCCAGTCGGACCTCGAGACCATCCATGACCAAGCGCTGAACGAGCGCAATTATGGCGATCTGGCCGGGCTCAACAAGGACGATGCGCGCGCCAAATGGGGCGAGGATCAGGTTCACATCTGGCGCCGGTCCTACGACACGCCGCCGCCCGGAGACGATGGCGAAAGCCTGCGCGACACGGGCGCCCGCGTCTGGCCCTATTACATGACAGAGATCCTGCCGCGCGTCCTGCGCGGGCAGACGGTTCTGGTCGCCGCGCACGGCAATTCGCTGCGCTCCCTCGTCATGATCCTCGACGGGCATACCAAAGAGTCCATCACGCAGCTTAACCTCGGCACCGGCGTACCGATGGTCTATCGCCTGCACGCCGATTCGACCGTCGCCGCCAAGGAAGTGCTGGGCGACATGTCCGGCGCGCATTGATCTTGATGAACCGGCTGGCCACGCCGGACATTGTCCGGTGCCTAATGTGATTTTTCTTTGCTGAGCTGTGGCCGCAGCCGATGCGAATCGGCTCTTCAAGACAGCGGAGTGCAGCCGCCGTGCCCAATGATTTCTACCGAACCGTCACCAAGACAATCAGCGAAGTGGGATACGCCTATTGGAAGCCCGCCAAGGGAAGCCACGAGAAATGGCGTCACCAGACGACTGGCAAGCTGTTAATCGTGCCACGCAACCTCAAAAGCCGGATACCGCCAACAACATTCTGAAATCAGCGGGCAGCCAAAAGCGCCTGTGACGTCAGGCGGCCTGCGGCTCGGGCTTCACGAAGACGATCGCTGGAATCAGGTCACGCGCTGTAAACTTGTGCAGATCGGCATCGGTCACGTGATTGGCCGCAACAAGCTCGGCGGCGACGTCGTGCAGAGTCGATTCGAACGCATCGATGCTATCGGCTTCAATATGAAGTCCTTCGATGTCGCTGTCGGCAACCCAAACCTTGGCGTCATCGTCCCAGACCGCTCGTACGGTGTATGTGCGCGGCACATTCGTCTCCTTCAGACCGTGTTGTAACCTATAGGCGCTTTGGGTGCTTGCCAACAGCCCTCTCAAGGTCTGAGATGTCGGGTGCCGAGAAGGCAAGATTGCCCAGAGATGCGCATGACCGACCTCTTCACACTGTTCTCGGACCACTGGCCGGCAATGATGGCGGTTTTTGCCGTTTTTGCCGTCGCCGCCGCGAGCCCCGGGCCGGCGACGCTCGGCATCATGGCAACGGCCATGGCACGCGGGCGCGCGGCGGGCATGGCGTTCGCCGCAGGCGTCCAGCTTGGTTCGTTCACATGGGCGATGGCGGCCGCGATTGGCCTCTCGGCCTGGCTCAACACGATCGCCTGGGGGCTCATCGCGATGAAGATCGCAGGCGGCGCCTATCTGATCTGGCTGGCGGCCAGGGCGTTGCGCAGCGCGCTGTCGGCAAGGCCGGTCCCGGCCGCCGCAAGCAATGCCAGGTCGCTGACCGGCCATTTCGCCCGTGGCGCGCTGTTGCACCTGACAAATCCCAAGGCCGTTCTGGCGTGGATCGCAATCGTTGCGCTGACGCAGACAAGCGGAGGCGGAACACCGGTGCTGCTGGCGACGCTGGGCATCTGCCTTTTGATCGGAGCGGTGGTGTTCCAAGGCTACGCGCTTGTCTTCGCCTCGCCGGTCATGGTGGCAGCCTACACGCGCGCCCGGCGTGCCATCGAAGGGGTTCTCGCCGGCGTCTTCGGCTATGCGGGCTGGCGGCTGTGGTCGTCGGCCTGACCGCCGGCCACCTGCCCGGCTTCCCAGCCCAGGATCGCGCGTTTGCGCGTCAGGCCCCAGTGATAGCCGGTCAGCGCGCCGGACTTTCCCATCGCGCGGTGGCACGGCACGACGAACGAGACCGGATTGGCGCCGACCGCCGCGCCGACGGCGCGTGACGCGGCAGGACGACCGATCCGGTCGGCGATCGCCGAATAGGCTTCGGCCCTGCCCATCGGGATCTTCAAAAGCGCCTCCCACACGCTGACCTGAAAGTCGGTCCCGATCAGCACGACACGCAGCGGCTGGTCGTTGCGCCACGCGCCCGGCGCGAAAACGCGTGCGGCATAGGTGCCGGTGGCGCCCATGTCCTCCTCGAAGCGGGCGAACGGCCAGCGGCCGGACATGTCGGCAAACGCCTCGCGCTCGCCGCCCGGATCGCAGAAGGCCAGGCCGCACAGGCCGCGCTCGGTGACCATGATCAGCGCAATGCCGAACGGACACAGATGATAGCCATAGCGGATCGTCAGCCCTTCGCCGCCGGCCTTGATCTCGCCGGGCGACATTGCCTCGTGGGTGACGAACAGATCGTGCAGCCGACCGGGGCCGGACAGGCCCAGCTCATAGGACGCATCGAGCAGCGGCATGTCGGAGGCCAGAAGCCGCCGCGCATGATCGATCGTCACTGCCTGCAAAAACGCCTTTGGCGACAGTCCGGCCCAGCGGGTGAACAGCTTCTGAAGGGCGGTCGGCTCCATTCCGACATCGTCCGCAAGGGCTTCCAGCGAGGGCTGGTCGCGCCAGTCCTGCGAGATCTTCTCGATGACCCGGCGAACGGTCTCGTAATCGCCGGTCTCGATGTCTGCGGGTTGGGTCAGAACGGCGTGCAGCTGTTCCATGGTCGTTTTTCCAAATGATGTCGGTTGCGCATCATTGGATCATCAAGGCCGGCGCTCCGCCACCCGAAACTTGAGAACGCCGATCAGCGCCGCGCGGTTGCCAAAGCCTGTGAAAACGCCGTCGCGAAGCTCTCGCGATCGTCGGGATTGAGGAAGGCACCGATCGATGTGGCCCGCCCCTGCCCGGTCAGACGCATCGCGGTGATGCCGATTTCGCTATGCCGGTCGATGTGAAACCGCGCCCAGAACGGGTTGTAGTGGTGGTCCTGATGGCGGCCGTTGGGTGCGATCTTGCGGATGTGCACGTCCGAGCGCGTGACCGTGACCTGCTCGCGCGCCCGCCCGGCGCGAAAGCTCAGACGAATGGCGAGATAGAGGATGAAGACGTCGACGATCATGAAGATGGCCACCGGCCAGGCGCCGAGCGCGAAATAGAAGACGGCGTTCATCGCGCAAATCGCGGCGAACACGCCCATCAAAAGGGCGAAGCCGCCGGACGTCAAAGACCGGTGCGGAAAAAGCTCTGCGGCGAATACCGTCTTTTCGGCTGGCGCGGCGGGTTCTATGTCTGAAGACACAACGGACATGGATCGAGGTTATAGGCCGCAATGGAAGCCAGCCAAGAGAAAAAGCCAACGGCAAAACGTGCCGGACCGGCAAAGAAGCGGACCAGGCGGCTGCCGCGGACCAAGTACACGCAAGACGAATTGCGCGAGATGTTCCGGCGTTTTTCGATCCAGCGGCCCGAGCCCAAGGGCGAACTGGCGCATGTGAACCCCTATACGCTGGTCGTCGCCGTCGCGCTTTCGGCGCAGGCGACCGATGCGGGCGTCAACCGGGCGACACGAGACCTGTTCAAGGTCGCCGACACGCCCGAAAAGATGCTGGCGCTTGGCGAGGAAAAGGTGGGCGATTACATCAAATCCATCGGGCTTTGGCGCAACAAGGCCAAGAACGTCATCGCGCTGTCGCAAAAGCTGATCGACGATTTCGGCGGCGAGGTGCCACAAACACGCGAGGAACTGACCACGCTGCCGGGCGTCGGGCGCAAAACCGCCAACGTCGTCATGTCGATGGCGTTCGGCATTCCCACCATGGCCGTCGACACCCACATTCTGCGAATAGGCAACCGGATCGGCCTGGCGCCGGGCAAAACGCCCGATGAGGTCGAGGCGATCCTGATGAAGGTGATCCCCGAAGAGTATCTCTATCACGCCCATCACTGGCTGATCCTGCATGGCCGCTACACCTGCAAGGCGCGCAAGCCCGATTGCGTGGCCTGCGTGATCGCCGATCTGTGCAAGTCGAAGGAAAAGACCACAAGCGAGCCTGCACCGCTTGTGCCGCTTCCGCCGCAGGTGATCGGCTGATGGGCGTCAATCTGGTCATCGTCGTCGCGCTTATCCTGCTGAACGGGCTGTTCGCGCTGGCCGAACTGGCGGTCGTCTCGTCGCGGCGGGCGCGGCTTCAGGCGCTCGCCGACCGGAACCGCCGCGGCGCGCAAAGCGCGCTCGCGCTGCATGCCGACCCGGGCCGGTTCCTGTCATCGGTGCAGATCGGCATCACGCTGGTCGGCATCGTCAATGGCGCGTTTTCGGGCGAGGCGTTCGGCGACGCGGCGGCCGATGCGCTTGTCGCGCTGGGGCTGAACGCGGCAACGGCGGCCACGCTGGGCTATACGGCGATCATTCTGGCGGTCACCTATCTGTCGGTAATCGTCGGCGAACTGGTGCCCAAGTCGCTGGCCCTTCGCAACCCGGAAGGCATTGCCTGCGCCGTGGCACCCGCCATGACGCTGTTTGCCCGGCTGGCGGCGCCGGCGGTCTGGATTCTCGATGCCTCGACGCGGCTGATCATGCGGCTTATCGGGCAGGGCGGCGCCGAGGAGCCGCGCGTGACCGACGAGGAAATCAAGTCGCTGATCGCGCAGGCCGAACAGGCGGGCGTGGTGGAGACCGACGAGCGCGACATGATCGCAAGCGTCATGCGACTGGCGGATCGCCGCGCGACCAGCCTGATGACGCCGCGCATGGAGATCGAATGGATCGACATGAGCGATCCGCCGGCCGACATCGCCGAGCAACTCAAGACCACGCGCCAGACCTTCCTGCCCGCGGCCGGCGAGAGCCTCGATCATGTGGAGGGAGTGGTGCGCACGCGCGAGGCGCTGCTGGCCCTGCTCGACGGCAAAGCACCGGATCTGGAGGCGCTTTTGCATCGCGTCGACAGCGTGCCCGAATCGGCGGCCGCGCTCGATGTGGTGACCCGTCTGCGGGAGGCGCCGACGCCGGTCGTGTTCGTCCGCGACGAACGCGGCCATTTCGAGGGTCTGATCACTTCGACGGACATACTGGAATCGATCGCCGGCGCCTTCGTCTCCGAAAGCGGACCGACAGAGCCGGATGTCGTGGCGCGCGACGACGGCACCTATCTGATGAACGGGGCGATGCCGGCGGACGAGGCGGCCGAACTGCTCGGCATATTGCTGCCCGATCGCCGGTCCTACGAGACGCTGGCCGGGCTGATGCTGGACCGGCTCGGCCGGTTGCCCGACACGGGCGAAGCCATCGAGGCCGATGGATGGCGGCTTGAGGTCATCGACATGGACGGCCAGCGGATCGACAAGCTGCTTGCCCGGCGCACCGCCACCACACGCCGCGCGGGCAAGGGGACCGAAGCCTGACGGGCGGCGCTATGCGGGCGCCATATGCCCCTGGCGCGCCTGCCTGCCGGCAATCGCCTTGTGCAGGTGCACCATCAGGGCGGCGCCGAACAGGGGTGTCATCAGGTTGACGATCGGGATCGCCATGAAACCGGCGATCAGAAGTCCGGCGAGGACGACCGTGCCCGAATGGCGGGAGCGCAGTTCGGCGGCGGTCTTTTCGTCATGAAAGCGCATGGCCGCGAACTGGAAATATTCGCGGCCGAGCAGATAGGCGTTGACCGCCAGAAAGGCGATCAGGTTGACGCCCGGTATCAGCAACAGCAGCAGCGCGGCCAGGTTGCCGGCGACCACAACGCCGAAAAACTTGATGCCGAGCACGATGGAGCGCCCGAGCGGCAGCGGCCTGCCGGTCGGCGCATCGGGATAATCCTGCCGTTCGATGTGTTCGGCGACATCGTCAAGAAAGATGCCGGCGATGACCGCACTCACCGGCCCGACCAGAAAGGCAAGGCCGACCGCCAGCGCCAGACCCGCGGCGACAGCCGCGACGAGCCCGATCGTGCCGGTCCAATCCGGCAGGGCGAAACCGGCGATGAACGCTTCCAGATAGGGCAGCGCGGCCCACTCGACCGCATAGCGGATGGCGAACCAGGCGGCGATCAGGCCGACGATCGTCAGCCCGACCGACTTCCACAGAACCTGCCGCAAGGCCGGGTCGAACAGTTCGCCAAGCGCGCGCCGTGCCGATGCAATCACCATGGTGCGCAGATGGGGGCGCCCGATTGCCGGTGCAATGGGCGTCCGAAGACTTCCAATCGTGTTCCGCACGGGCTAAACGCGCCGGGACCGAGACCGAGGGCGCCCAATGAGTCATTATGATGTGCTGTGCATTGGCAATGCGATCGTCGATATCATCGCACGTGCCGAGGACGACTTCCTGCGCGAGAACGGCATCATCCGCGGTGCGATGAACCTGATCGACATGGAGCGCGCCGAGCTCCTTTACGAACGCATGGGTCCGGCCGTCGAGACGTCGGGCGGCAGCGCCGGAAACACCGCAGCCGGTGTCGCCAGCTTCGGCGGAACGGCGGCCTTTTTCGGCAAGGTTGCCGATGACGGGCTCGGCCGCATCTACCGCCACGACATTCGTGCCCAGGGCGTTGCCTTCGACACATCGGAACTGGCCGGTACTCCGCCGACGGCGCGCTCCATGATCTTCGTCACACCCGACGGAGAGCGGTCGATGAACACCTATCTGGGTGCCTGCGTCGAACTGGGTCCCGAAGACGTCGAAGAGGACAAGGCCGCCGGGTCCAAGGTCACCTATTTCGAGGGCTATCTGTGGGATCCGCCGCGCGCCAAGACGGCCATCCGCGAGACCGCGAGGATCGCGCACGCCAATGGCAACGAGGTGGCGATGAGCCTGTCGGACCCGTTCTGCGTCGACCGCTATCGCGACGAGTTCCTCGATCTGATGCGTTCGGGCACGGTCGATATCGTCTTTGCCAATGAGGACGAGGCAAAATCGCTCTACCATACGGCCGACCTGGAGACGGCGCGCGAAGCATTGGCCAAAGACTGCAAGATCGCCATCGTCACGCGCTCCGAAAAGGGCTCGATGATCATCAATGGCGGCGGCGCGCACACGCGCATCGATGCCGACCCGGTCGACAGGCTGGTCGACACGACGGGCGCCGGCGACCTCTACGCGGCCGGCTTTCTTTACGGCTACACTGCCGGGATGGACATGGAGACATGCGGCCGGCTGGGATCGCTGGCCGCCGGAATCGTCATCCAGCAGATCGGTCCGCGTCCGCAGGTTTCCCTCCGCCAGGCGGCGATCGATGCGGGCCTGATCCGGGGTTGATTGTCAGGGGCGCAACGGCTTCTGTCGATCACGCGTCCTTGTCCGCCTCGGCATCGGGCGGGCCGGGTTCGGGCTCGGATGCGGCCTGCTTCGGGCCACCCTTGGCGACGCCCACCATGGCCGGCCGCAGCACGCGCTCGCCAATCGAGTAGCCGGCCTGAACGACCTGAACGACCGTGTTGTTGGGCACTTCGGGGTTGGGCACTTCGAACATTGCCTGATGGAAATTGGGGTCGAAGCGCTCGCCCTCGGGCGCCAACTGTTTGACGCCGTGGCGCTCCATCGTCGACAGCATGGATTTTTCCGTCAGTTCGACGCCTTCGAGCAGGTTCTTGAGCACGTCATCGGCGGCCTCGCGCTGTTCAGCCGTGACGGCTTCGATGGCGCGCCGAAGATTGTCGGTCACACCCAGCATGTCGCGGGCGAAGTTGGCGATCGCAAAGCTCTTGGCATCGGCCACTTCGCGCTGGGTGCGGCGGCGCAGGTTTTCCATGTCCGCGGCAAGCCGCAGCAGCCGGTCCTTCATGTCGCTGTTTTCGGCCTGGATCGCCTCGATTTCCTCGGCAATGATCGAACCGGCTGCGGCACTGTCTGTGTCCATATCGCCGAACACCGCACCCTCGGCCTCATCGGCGCCGTCCTCTTCGCCAAACGCCGCATAGGCATCGGCATCTTCGGCGGCGGCGCGGCGGCGGGCGGCGCGGTCGGCCTTCAGAAGCTCATCGGCGGCCTTGCGGAGGTTTTCGCGGCTGCCGGGATTGATGTCAGCGCCGGAGGTCTCCGGCTTTCGATCATTGTCAGCCATTCGTCATGTCCATTCGGTTGGGAATTCAAAGCTGGGCGCGATATCGAGTGTGCGCAGCGAAAAATCAAGCCCGGCGGCGCTGTGCTATTCGCGTTCGATCATGCGCGAAATCAGCTGCGCGGTGTAGTCGACCATCGGCACGATCTTGGCATAGTTGAGCCGTGTCGGCCCCAATACGCCCAGCGCGCCGATCACCCGGCGGTTGGTGTCGCGATAGGGCGCAACGACCAAGGACGAGCCGGACAGCGAAAACAGCCGGTTCTCCGATCCAATGAAGATGCGCACGCCCGAGCCTTCCTCGGCCATGTCGAGAACGCTGATGATCTCGTCCTTGCGCTCGAGATCGTCGAGCAGCATCTTGGTGCGCTCGATCTCCTCGGCATCGGTGAGGTTTTCCAGCAGATTGGCGCGGCCGCGCACGATCAGCTGGCGGGGATGACCGTCATTCGCGCCGGACCAGACCGCTAGCCCACGTTCCACAAGGCTGGCGCTGAGCGCATCCAGTTCGGCGCGGATTTCGCCGCGCATCGCGTTGATGGCGCGGCGGACGTTGGCCAGTGTCTGCCCGCGCGCGTGATGGTTGAGAAAGTTTGCGGCCTCGGCCAGTTGCGATGCCGTCATGCCGGCAGGCAGGTCGATGATGCGGTTCTCGACCTCGCCCGATTCCCAGACCAGAACGGCCAGAGCCTTGGTTTCTTCGAGGCGCACGAATTCGATATGCTTCATCGCGCCGTCGCGCTTGGCCGCCAGCACGAGCCCCGCGCCGCTCGACACCCGGCTGAGCATCTGGCTGGCCTCGGTCAGCAATTGCTCGGTATGCGGATGGCCTTCGCCGGAGCCCAATTGCTGGTCGATGATCGCTCGTTCCTCGTCGCTGACGGCGCCGGCATCCATGAAGGCATCGACAAAAAAGCGCAGACCCTGCTCGGTCGGCAGGCGCCCGGCAGAGACGTGCGGCGCATAGATCAGGCCGAGCGCCTCCAGATCGCTCATCACATTGCGCACCGAGGCCGGCGACAGCGATGTCGGCAACATCTTGGACAGGTTGCGCGAGCCGACCGGCTCGCCCTCGGTGAGATAGCTTTCGACGATGCGCCGGAAGATGTCGCGCGATCTCTCGTCGAGCTTTTCGTCCAGTTCGGTGGCTGTCGGGGTGATATGCTGCATTGGCGCGTGGCAATCCCTGTTGCCCCAGATATATGCCAGCGACGGAATTCGGGAAAGGGGCGACAGCGCACGGTTCCATCGGGCGCGCAAACCGTCTAGACACGGCGCGGATTTCAAACCCGAAGGACATTCCATGAATCGGCCATCCGGGCGCATGCCCGACCAAATGCGCGCCGTCTCGTTCGAGCGCGGCATCTCCAAGCATGCCGAAGGCTCTTGCCTGATCAAGTTCGGCGACACACACGTTCTGTGCACCGCGAGCCTTGAAGAGCGGGTTCCGCCATGGCTGCGCAATTCCGGCCGCGGCTGGGTGACGGCCGAATATGGCATGCTGCCACGCGCCACTGGCGACCGGATGCGTCGCGAGGCGTCATCGGGCAAGCAGGGCGGCCGAACGCTGGAAATCCAGCGTCTGATCGGCCGGTCGATGCGGGCGATCGTCGATCTCGAAGCGCTTGGCGAACGCCAGATCACCGTCGACTGCGATGTGATCCAGGCCGATGGCGGAACACGCACAGCGGCGATCACCGGTGGCTGGATCGCGCTGCACGATTGCCTGGACTGGATGCATTCGCGCCAGATGGCGTCCAAGACGCGGGTGCTGAAGGACCATGTCGCGGCGGTCTCGTGCGGCATCTATCAGGGCACGCCGGTGACCGATCTGGACTATGTCGAAGACAGCAACGCGGAAACCGACGCCAACTTCGTGATGACCGGCACCGGCGGCATCGTCGAGGTGCAGGGTACCGCCGAAGGCGCGCCGTTCAGTCGTGACGAGTTCAACGCCCTGTTCGGTCTGGCGGAGAATGCCGTCGCCGATCTGGTCGCGATGCAGAAACAGGCCGTCGGGGGCTGAGCATGGCACGGCGGCTCGAACCGGGACGGCTGGTGCTCGCCACGCACAATGACGGCAAGCTGCGCGAGATTCGCGGGCTGATCGGCCCGTTCGGCTTCGATGTGGTTTCAGCGGGCGAACTGGGTCTTGATGAACCCGAGGAAACCGGAACGACGTTCAAGGACAATGCGCGAACCAAGGCGATGGCCGCGATGGAGGCGACCGGCCTGCCGGCGCTAGCCGACGACAGCGGGCTATGCGCCGAGGCGCTCGACGGGGCGCCGGGCGTCTACACCGCCGACTGGGCGGAGACCGGCAATGGCGATCAAGATTTCATGATGGCGATGCGCACGGTCGAGGAAAAGCTTCAGGCGCTGGGTGCGGCAGAACCGGACCAGCGGCGCGCCGCGTTCGTCGCGACGCTGTGTCTGGCCTTTCCCGACGGGCATTGCGATTTCTTCCGGGGCGAGGCGCCCGGCCATCTCATATGGCCGCCGCGCGGCGATCTGGGCTTCGGCTATGATCCGGTGTTCGTGCCCGATGGACACAGCCGCACGTTCGGCGAGATGACCGCCGAGGAAAAGCATGGCTGGAAACCGGGCGAAACCGACGCCTTGTCGCATCGCGCCCGCGCGTTCAAACTGTTTGCCCATGACTGTCTGGGCGTCACCTGATCAAACAGCCCCGGCGCCGCTCAATGGCGATGACGGATCGCCGGGCTTCGGCGTCTATCTGCATTGGCCGTTCTGCGCGGCCAAATGCCCCTATTGCGACTTCAATTCGCATGTCCGCCACGCGCCGGTCGACCAGACGGCCTTTGCCGAAGCGTTCCTTCGCGAGATGGCGCATGTGCGGGACCTGACCGGTCCGCGCGAGGTGACATCGATCTTCATCGGCGGCGGCACACCATCCCTGATGACGCCGGAAACGGTTGGCACGCTCCTCAATGCGGTTGCCGCACATTGGAGGGTTCCGGCCAACATCGAAGTGACGATGGAAGCCAATCCGCAATCGGCAGATGCGAACAGATTTGCCGGCTACAGGACTGCGGGCGTCAACCGGCTGTCGCTCGGCGTTCAGGCCCTGAACGATGCCGATCTCACATTCCTGGGCCGGCTGCACGATGCCGACGAAGCGCGCGCCGCGATCGAACTGGCGCGGCGGACATTCCCGCGCCTGTCGTTCGATTTGATCTATGCGCGGCCGGGTCAAACGCTGGCGGCATGGGCATCGGAATTGCGCGAGGCCATCTCGCTCGCGGCCGATCATCTGTCGCTCTACCAGCTGACCATCGAGGACGGAACGCCGTTCAAGGCACTGCACGCGGCCGGGCGCATCGCCATTCCGGACGGTGAACTGGCGAGCGATCTTTACGCGATGACGCAGGACATCACGTCCGATCATGGTTTGCCGGCGTATGAAATATCCAATCATGCCGTGCCCGGTGCGCAATCGCGGCACAATCTCACCTATTGGCGTTACCGCGATTATGCCGGCATCGGCCCCGGCGCGCACGGACGGTTTGCCGTTGGCGAGGCCGTCGAAAAGCACGTGACCATCACCGAGCGACATCCCGAGACCTGGCTGGAGCGTGTACGCCGGCGCGGTCACGGCATTGCCGAAACCGAAACGCTGGATCGGATGGCCCAGGCGGATGAGATGCTGATGATGGGCCTGCGGCTGACGGAGGGCGTCGATCTGGCACGTCACGAAGCGCTCGGCGGGCGCACAATCGATGGACAGGCGCTGCAGGCGATGATCGATCTGGGCATGGTCGAACGCGTCGGCAATGCCCGCATCCGGGCGACGGCGCGCGGGCGGATTGTGCTTGATTCCGTGATTGCCGAACTGGCGCAATGAGATGAGTGCACCGACCTACACGATCGCCGGCCACGAGATCACGGCGCCGCCGCTGGAGCCGGCGCTCTATCTGGTCGCAACGCCGATCGGCAACTTGCGGGATGTCACGATCCGCGCCCTGGAAACGCTGGCCGCCTGCGATGTATTGGCCTGTGAGGACACGCGGATTACCCGCCGCCTGCTCGACCGCTACGGCATTGCCGCCAAACCGGTCGCCTATCATGAGCACAATGCGGATCAGGCGGGTCCTCGACTGCTCGCCGCGCTGGCCGACGGCCGCTCCGTGGCGCTGGTCTCCGATGCCGGAACGCCTCTGGTCTCCGATCCCGGCTACCGGCTCGGTATCGAGGCAAGACAGGCAGGCCATGCGGTTGTCCCGATCCCCGGTCCATCGGCGGTTCTCGCCGCCCTTTCGGCCTCAGGCCTGCCCACCGACGATTTTCGGTTCGTCGGGTTTTTGCCGGCGAAAGACAAGGCCCGCCGCGACCGGTTGGCTTCGCTTCAGCACCAGCAATCAACCCTGATCGCCTTTGAATCACCGCACCGCCTAGTCGGCGCGCTCGAAGCCATCGCGGCAGTGATGGGGGCGGAGCGCACGGTGTGCGTCGCGCGCGAGCTGACAAAACGGTTCGAAACCGTAACGACGGGAACCGTCAACGAATTGTCGAACCGGTTCGGAGACGAAACGATAAAGGGCGAGATCGTTTTGCTGATCGCGCCGGCGAAGACGGAAACCGGCCAAGCCGAGGCGACTGACATCGATGCGCTGCTCGCCGAACTTCTCGCGGACATGCCGGCGGGCAAGGCGGCGCGGGAAGCCGCGCAGATGACGGGCCTGCCCCGCGCCGATCTCTACGCCCGGATCCTTGCGCGGAAAGAGACCGGTGACTGAACCGGGCGGCGCCAAGCGCCGAAAAGCCGAAAGGCGCGGCCACGCCGGTGAAACCCGGGCAACGTGGCTGATGCGCCTCAAAGGCTTCCGCATCGTGGCGCGCCGCTACAAATGCCGGGCGGGCGAGATCGACCTGATCGTCCGGCGCGGCGATCTCGTCGCAATCGTCGAGGTCAAGGCAAGGCCGTCACTGGCCGAGGCGATGGACGCCGTGACGCCTTACGGGCGCCGGCGCATCATCGGCGCGACCGATCACTGGCTGGCCGGACAGCCGGACCATGGCCGGCTTTCGGTAAGATTCGATCTGGTCGCTGTGCTTCCGGGCCGCTGGCCTGTGCATGTGCCGGCGGTGTTCACGGCCTGAAGCCGATTGATTTTGCCGCGCACGCGCGCCACTTAGGGCCAACCCAATCGAGGAACGATCATGGCGCTTACCATCGCGGTCCAGATGGACCATGTCTCCACCGTCGCGATCGAGGGCGACACCACGTTCGCCCTGTGTCTCGAGGCGCAGGCGCGCGGCCATGACCTGTTCCACTACACGCCCGACCGGCTGGCCCTGCGCGACGGAACGGTCAGCGCCTTGCTCGAGCCGCTGACCGTGCGCGACGTCAAGGGCGATCATTTCACCCTGGGTCCGGCCCAACGCACGGACCTGTCCCGGATGGATGTTGTGCTTCTGCGGCAGGACCCGCCGTTCGACATGAACTACATCACGACGACGCATATTCTCGAACGCATCCATCCGAAAACGCTGGTGGTCAACGACCCGGCCTGGGTGCGCAATTCGCCCGAAAAGATCTTCGTCATGGAGTTTGCCGACTTCATGCCCGAAACGCTGATCACCAAGGATGTCGATGCGATATCCGATTTCCGGCGCGAGTTCGGCGACATCATCGTCAAACCGCTTTATGGCAATGGCGGTGCCGGCGTCTTCCATCTGCGCGATGGCGACCGCAACCTGACCTCGCTGATGGAGATGTTCGGCCAGCTGACCAACGAGCCGATCATCGCCCAGCGCTATCTGGCCGATGTCCGCGCCGGCGACAAGCGTATCATCCTGATCGACGGAGAGCCGGTGGGCGCCATCAACCGCGTGCCGCATGAAAGCGACACGCGCTCGAACATGCATGTGGGCGGCAAGGCGCTGGCGACCGAGATGACCGAGCGCGAGCGCGAGATCTGCGCGGCGATCGGGCCGGCGCTGCGGGAGCGTGGCTTCATCCTGGTCGGCATCGACGTGATCGGCGGTCTCATGACCGAGATCAACGTGACCTCGCCGACGGGCGTGCGCGAAGTCGCCAAGTTCGGAGGCGCCGACATTGCGGCGCTTTTCTGGGATGCGGTCGAAAAGCGGCGCTGACCGGCGCCCGTTTGTTCCGCCATACAATCGGCCACAACCTGAATACAGCCTTGACGCGTATTTGTTCCCAAAATGTTCTTGCCTTGTTTCACAACCTGTGCTTGATTGATTGACGGGTGCGGGTTGTGCGTGGCGGATGGTCCGGTGCACGCGCCACGCCCTTCGCGCACAGGGGGCAAGGACATGGTCGCACGTGTGACGACAGTCGCCTTCCAGGGCATCGAGGCGGTGCCGGTCGATGTTCAGGTGATGGTGGCGCCGGGCAAGATGATGATGCAGATCGTCGGCCTGCCGGACAAGGCCGTCGCCGAAAGCCGCGAGCGGGTCCAGTCGGCCTTGCATGCATCGGGTCTGTCGATGCCGCCCAAGCGTGTGACAGTCAATCTGGCGCCGGCCGACCTGCCCAAGGAGGGCAGCCATTTCGATCTGCCGATCGCGCTGGGACTGATGGCGGCGCTGGGCGCCATTCCCTCCGACGCGCTGGCCGGCTTTGCCGTGCTGGGGGAATTGTCGCTCGACGGCACCATCGCGCCGGTCGCCGGCGTCCTGCCGGCGGCAATTGCGGCCAATGCATCGGGAAAAGGCCTGATCTGTCCGGCGGCCTGCGGCGCCGAAGCGGCATGGGCGGATGCGACCATGCCGATCCTCGCGCCGGTCAGCCTGATCGGGCTTGCCAATCATTTTCGCGGCACGCAGGTGCTGTCGCGGCCACGGGCGGCGATGCGCGAGGCGGCATCCAACCTGCCCGACATGGCCGACATCAAGGGACAGGAAACGGCGCGGCGTGCGCTGGAAGTCGCCGCGGCGGGCGGTCACAACCTCCTGATGGTCGGCCCGCCCGGTTCGGGCAAATCCATGCTGGCGCAGCGCTTGCCGTCGATCCTGCCGCCGCTGTCGGCACGCGAACTGCTCGATGTCTCGATGATCGCCTCCATCGCCGGCGAACTTGCGGGCGGCGAATTGACCGACCGGCGCCCGTTCCGCGCGCCGCATCATTCGGCCTCGATGGCCGCCATGGTCGGCGGCGGGCTCAGGGCGCGGCCCGGCGAAGTGTCGATGGCCCATAATGGCGTTCTGTTTCTCGACGAGTTCCCCGAATTCGCGCCGCAGGTGCTGGACAGTCTGCGCCAGCCCCTGGAAACCGGCAATTGCATGATCGCCCGCGCCAATCACCGTGTGTCCTATCCCGCCCGCATCCAGCTCGTCGCCGCGATGAACCCGTGCCGGTGCGGCATGGCCGGCACGCCCGGGCATGCCTGTTCACGCGGCCCGCGCTGCCAGACCGATTATCAGGCGCGGATTTCGGGGCCGCTGATGGACCGGATCGACGTCCGCGTCGAGGTGCCGGCGGTGATGCCGGGCGACCTGATCCGGCGCAAGCCGGGAGAGACGAGCGCGGCGGTGGCTGCGCGGGTTGCAGGGGCGCGCGCACTGCAGGCAGACCGATACACCGGTCTCGGCATGGCGGAGGTCGGCGTCAATGCGCACTGCCCGACGGCGATGATCGAGGAGGTGGCGAAGGCCGATGGCGGCGCGCTTCAACTGCTTGCGGACGCTGCCGACAAGATGCGCTTTTCGGCACGCGGCTATCACCGCATCCTGAAGCTGGCGCGGACACTGGCCGATCTCGACGGGCACGACGCGGTCGGCCGGATCCACATTGCCGAGGCCATCTCCTACCGCATCATGGGCGATGCGATGGCCGCCGCGGCGTGATGGAAACCGGGCCGAACCGGCCCATTTGCGGCCGCCACCGGCGCAAGACCGCCGATCCGGCCGGATGGCGCCAGCCGGTCAGCCCGCGCGGGCGGCGATGGCGACCGCCGCCCCGCCCAGACATGTGGCCGCAAACCGGTTGAGCGCCTTGAGCGCCCGCGGCGTCCTCAGGAAGATGCGTGCCCGGCCCGCCAGCCCCGCATAGGGCACCATGACGGCGACCAGAACGAGAAATGTCACGGCGATCAGGATGGTGAAGTCCGCCATGGTCACCGCCGTCATGTCGATCAGGGTTGGCAGAAGCGCCAGATAGAAGACCATCGTCTTGGGATTGCCGAGCGTGACCAGCAGGCCGGCGACGAAGCCGGCCACCGCACCGCCGCCATCGGCCTTCGCATCGATCGTTTCGGCGGTGACCCCGGCCCGCCAGAACCCGATGGCCATCCAGACGAGATAGGCGGCGCCGGCATATTTGATGACGACGAACAGCGTGCCGAAGGTCGATGCGACATAGGCGAGGCCAAGGATCGCCGCGGCCAGATAGACAACGTCACCCAGCACCAGGCCGAACAGCATGGGCAGTGTCGGGCGGAGGCCGGCGCCGAGCGCCCGCGCGACGATGGCGATCACGCCGGGCCCCGGAATGGCGGCGGCGATGGCAAGCGCGATCGCATAGGTCAGAAAATCGGGCAGGGTCATCGGCGCGGTTCCGCTTCGGGATCACCGGCAAGCCCTATCACCGAGCCGATGGTCTGTCTGTGGTAATCCTGTCACCGGTACAAGATATCCAGCACCGGTCAATGGGTGCCGGTGGATCCGAAGCCACCGGCACCACGCCCGGTCGCGTCCGGCGGCTCGGTCGTCTCGGCGGTCGCCGCCCGGACCGCCGGCGCGATGACGATCTGCGCGATGCGCATGCCGCGCGTGATCTCGAAGACGTCGTGGCCGAGATTGATCAGCAGCACATGCACCTCGCCTCGATAGTCGCTGTCGATCGTGCCCGGCGTGTTCAGGCAGGTGACGCCGTGACGGACGGCGAGGCCCGAACGGGGGCGGATCTGCCCCTCGAATCCATCGGGAACCACCATGACGAAACCGGTGGGCACCGCAGCCCGTTCACCGGGCGCCAGAACGAACGGCACATCGTCCGGCACGGCGGCGCGGATGTCCATGCCGGCCGCGCCCTCGGTGGCATAGGCGGGAAGATCGAGCCCGTCTGCGTGAGAAAGACGGATGAAGGTCACGACGGTCGCATTCATCACCGCCTGATGCGCCGTCGCGCGCCTGCCGTCAACGGCTGGCCGTCCGATTGCGGACATCCATTGCCGCGCGGCCGCGATGAACAATCAGCCTGTGCGCCAGAAGCGCAAAGGCGAGGCCTTGCTCCGCGCCAGTTCGCCCCGTGCCTCCAGGTCCAGCTGGACTGTCTTGGCCCACCAGCCTGCCGTCTTGCCCTGCGGAAACAGCGTTGCGGGCAGGTGCGGCAATGCCGCCTCCTTGATCTCCCGGCCGGTCAAACCCGGCGGGCCGTCGGGCAGAGTGGCCAGCATGGCGGTCTTCATGGCCGCGTACTTGGCCGCGTCGACCCGTTCCACGCGGCCCGGAACATTGACGTTCCGCACTTCGATCTTGTCGGACATGGCGTGCTCCCTCGGCCCCGATCGCCGGTCATACTGGCACGATTGACACCGCCTGCGCACCCTGCCAGACACCGCGCGACCCAGGAACAGGCCCACCATGCCGCAATCGCTCCAAGACGAGGTCGCCCGCCGGCGGACCTTCGCCATCATCTCGCACCCCGATGCGGGCAAGACGACGCTGACCGAGAAGCTGCTTCTGTTCGGCGGCGCGATCCAGCTCGCCGGCGAGGTCAAGGCCAAGAAGAACCGGACCCAGTCGCGGTCCGACTGGATGAAGATCGAGCGCGAACGCGGCATTTCGGTGGTCACTTCGGTGATGACGTTCGAATATGGCGGCAACGTCTTCAACCTGCTCGATACGCCCGGGCATGAGGACTTTGCCGACGACACCTATCGCACGCTGACGGCGGTCGACAGCGCGATCATGGTGATCGACGCGGCCAAGGGCATCGAGCCGCGCACGCTGAAACTTTTCGAAGTGTGCCGGCTGCGCGACATTCCGATAATCACCTTCGTCAACAAGATGGACCGGGAAAGCCGCGATCCGTTCGAGATCCTCGACGAGGTCGAAGAAAAGCTGGCGCTGGACACGGCGCCCGTCACCTGGCCGATCGGCCGGGCGAAGACCTTTTCGGGTACGTATCACCTGGCACGGAATGCGGTGCGGCAAGGCGATGCCGAAACCGAGCGCACAGCGGTCAACGGGCCCGAGGCGGACAGCGCGGCTGGCCTTCTGCCGGAAAACGAACGCGATGGGTTCATCGAGGAAGTCAATCTGGCGCGGGAAGCCTGCCGGCCATTCGATCGCGACGCCTATCTGGAAGGCCATCTGACACCGGTCTTTTTCGGCTCGGCGCTGCGCAATCATGGCGTGCGCGACCTGATCGACGCGTTGGCCGAGTTCGCGCCGCGCCCCCGCGCGCAGGAGGCAGACCTGCGCAAGGTGGAGGCGACCGAGACGGGCATGACCGCCTTCGTCTTCAAGATCCAGGCCAACATGGATCCCAACCATCGCGACCGGATCGCGTTCGCCCGCGTTTGCTCGGGTACCCTTGAGCGGGGCATGAAGGCAAAGCTCGTGCGCACCGGAAAGGCGGTGACGCTGTCGGCGCCGCAATTCTTCTTCGCCCACCAGCGCCAGACCGCAGACAGCGCCTTTGCCGGCGATGTGGTCGGCATTCCCAACCATGGCACGTTGCGCATCGGCGACACGCTGACCGATGGCGAAGCGCTGGTCTTTCGCGGCGTGCCGAACTTCGCGCCCGAGATCCTGCGCCGCGTGCGGCTGATGGATGCGATGAAGGGCAAGAAACTGACCGAGGCGCTGGCGCAGATGGCCGAAGAAGGCGTCGTCCAGCTCTTCATTCCCGAAGACGGTTCGCCATCTATTGTCGGTGTCGTCGGCGCGCTGCAGCTCGACGTGCTCAAGGCACGGCTCGAGGCGGAATACGCGCTGCCGGTTGACTTCGAAAGCGCACGGTTCTCCGTCTGCCGGTGGATTTCGTCCGATGACCGCGCGGCGCTCGACGGTTTCGTCGCCAAGCAGCGTGCGGCGATCGCCCGCGATCTGGATGGCGATCCGGTGTTCCTCGCCGAGAACGGTTTTTCGCTGAACTATGAGGCCGAGCGCGCGCCGGCGATCAGCTTCGAAGCGGTCAAGGATTATCAGGTGACCGCGAAGAAGGCGGCCTGAGGCATGGTCAGCGGTTCTCGTCGAGCCGCTTTCGAATGGCGCGCAGATGCGGCAGCGCCTTGGCCAGATGATCGAGCATCGCGTCGTCGAACACATCGCCCACCATGGCTTCGACCGCGCCGATGGCCGCGTTGCGGAAGGCCCTGCCCTCATCGGTGAGGTAGACCAGCTTGGAGCGCGCGTCGCGCTCATTGGCTGCCAGCCGGATCAGGCCGCGCTTTTCGAGGAGCGCCAGCGTGTGGCTCATGGTCGCCCGGGTGACCTGAAAGGCCGACGCCAGTTGCGCCGGCGTTTTCGCGTCGCCGAGACGCACCATGTGGTTGAGCACACCAAAATGCGACGGATGCATGCCGTCCGGCAGGACCTTCTGGAACCGCGCGGTGCCCAACTGGCCGATAATGCCGACCTCGTTGAAGAATTCGAACGGCGAGCCTTTGCCGGGCGGCGTCTCTGTCAGCTTTGCGGCCCTTCCACAAGTCGGGATTCCAACGGCCAGCGCGGGGTCGGGCCGGCGGCGGGACCATAGCCGATGCGCGCGAGCATTTGAACCGTGCCGCCATCGGTCGCCAGCCGTTCGTGAACCTCGGTGTAGAGCGGTTCCATCTCGGCAAATTCCTGCAGCGACTGGCTCAGCGGATGGAACGAAATTCCCTGGGCCGTGGCGGCAAGGTTGATGCGCACCCAATCGCGCCCGGCACCGATCTGGCTCGAACGGCTGTTGTCGCCGGTCACGCTCCAGACAAATCCCATCGATGTCGCGACCGGGCCAAGCACCGAGGCCAAGCCCTGTTCGTAGGCGAACGAGCCGGTGTCGAGCGCGGTCTGTCGCGTGAAAAGACCGAGCGCGTTCAACACTTCGAGCGGCGCGCCGGGCAGTTCGATGCCGTCGGGGTTGGCGTTGATCTCACGCTTGCCGATGCGGAACAGATCGACCGACTCCTTGTAGGTGCGCGGCGTCTCGAATTCGATGCGCAAGGCATTGGCCGTGAGTTCGCGCCATTGCGCGATTTCGTCCGGCGCGAGGGTCCCACCGACACGCGTGCCGTGGCGCGCAACGCGGATCATCGCGTCGAGTCCGGCCTGGGGAACCGGCCGGTCCGTGTCGTGGCTGCCCTTCGCAGAACGGCGCGCCAGCACATGGGCGAACAGCGGGTCGCGTTCGACAGCAGCGTCCTGCGCAAACCGGGCGACGGCGACCGGCGCACCGGTCAGGCCGTCAGGCGACGTGCCCGCCGGAAAAAGGTCGAGATCGACCCGGTGGCCGTCCTGGGCGGCAGCCATGACCATCAGTTCGAGGAAGCAGCCCATGCCGATGGTCAACTGCCGGTCATACGGGTCGGTGTGCGGCAGTTGCCGGGCATTGTCGAACCCTATCCGGACCGTGTCATCACCTTCAAGCGCGACCGTCCATGGCTGCCGATTGTGCGGATTGGGCGCGAGGATGGCGTAGGACAGGGCGCGCATGCGCGGGTCGGCATAGGCGGGAGCGCCGGCGCGCTCCCAGGGTTCAAGCGCGCGGGCCGGTGTGCGCGTCGCCGCAAAGACGCCGGCCGATGCGCCTGCGGCGACGACGACGCCACCACCGGCCAGCATCAGAAATTTTCTGCGATCGAGTGAGGACATGGCTTGCTCCTTTAATTAGATATCTAATCATTATAGTTTGATATCTAATTAGTCAAGCCGACCCAGAGGCGCTTTTTTCCGGGCCGCAGCGGGCAGGCTGCAGGTGCCGAGGGATGTGCCTTGCGGAACGGATTTCCCCGTCGCGGCCATCATCGGAACCGTGTTGGCTCGCAACGATGGCGCGGCGCGGCTAGATTGCTCTCAAGGTCGAAAGTCCAGCGGCGGGATGCCGCGCCCCCTTTCGAACGCGCTCTCCGATGCCTATTGAAAGGGCAGACCATCCGCACGACCACATGAAAAGGAACACGCCATGGGACTGCGCATCAACGACACCATCCCCGACCTGACCGTCGAAACCGACCAGGGCTCGTTCAGCCTTCACGAGTGGATCGGCGACAGCTGGGCCATCCTGTTCTCACATCCGAAGGACTTCACGCCGGTCTGCACCACCGAGTTCGGCGCGGTCGCGCAGCTTGCCGACGAATGGGACAAGCGCGGCACCAAGGTGATCGGCGTCTCCGTCGACAGTGCCGAAGACCATGTCAAATGGAAGGGTGACATCGAACAGGTCGCGGGCACCAAGGCCGGGTTCCCGATCATCGCCGATGACGGGCTGGCCGTGTCCAAGGCCTTCGACATGCTGCCGGCGGAAGCCTATCTGCCCGACGGTCGCACCCCGGCCGACAGCGCCACCGTACGCTCGGTCTTCATCATCGGCCCGGACAAGCAGCTCAAATTGTCGATGACCTATCCGATGAATGTCGGCCGCAACTTCGCCGAAGTGCTGCGCGCGCTGGACGGGCTTCAGACGGCCGCCAAGCACAATGTCGCGACTCCGGCCAACTGGAACGTCGGCGACGACGTCATCATTCCGACGGCCGTCAATGACGACGATGCCAAGAAGAAGTTCGGCGAATTCGAAACGGTTCTGCCCTATCTGCGCAAGACCAAGGCGCCGAAATCGGCCTAGCCGTCGAACCCCGGCCTTTCCGCTTGCCGGAACCTGTATGTTTTGGCAAGCTGAACGGGTCGGGGTCATCGTTCCCAAAGCGCCACGGCAGCGCGAGACCGGCCCCTTCCACACGCGGCGCCTTGATATGGCGAGACGTTGAAGACCGCCGTATCGTGCTGCGCGGAGGCTGGCTGAAACAGCCATGATTCCCGACCGCGACGTTCCGCTCACGCTGCGATGAGCGTTGCGGCTGCCAAGCTGCGCGGAGGAGGAACATATGGCACATGATCTCAAGGACCAGGGCGAACGGGCCGACGGCCTGTTTTCGCGTTTCGAAGAAGACCCCGAAGCGGCCGATTGGGCGTTGTTCGGCCGCCGGACCAACACCGACCGGCGCGGGTTCCTGCGCGGTGCGGGGCTGGCGACCATGGGGGCGATGCTCGGCGCAAGCATCCCGTTCCACCGCAACATGCCGGCCGGGTTCATTCCGGTAGCCTTTGCACAAGATGATGTGCTGGTCGGCAAGGATGGGCTCACGCTGCTCAACGACCGCCCGATCAACGCCGAAACGCCGGCGCATCTTCTCGACGATCCGATCACACCAACCGAACGGCACTTCATTCGCAACAACGGCATTCCGCCGCACGAACTGGGCGAGGTGGATGCCGACGGCTGGACGCTGACCATCGACGGTTTCGTCGACAACACCATGACGATGACCATCGCGGACATGCAGGAGCGTTTCGAGGTGCATACGATGGCGCTTGCCATCGAATGCGGCGGAAACGGGCGCGCCGCCTTCGATCCGCCGGCAAGCGGCAACCAATGGACGGTCGGCGCGATCGGCTGCTCGGAATGGACCGGCGTCAGGCTCAGGGATGTCCTCGAGGCGGCAGGTGTTCAGCCCCAGGTTGTCTATACCGCACATGTGGGCGCCGACGCCCACCTGTCCGGTGACCCGGAGAAACTGCCCATCTCGCGGGGCCTGCCGATCGAAAAGGCGATGTCCGACAATGTCCTGATCGCATGGGCGCAGAACGGCGCACCGATCCATCCCAACAACGGGGCTCCGTTGCGGCTTGTTGTTCCGGGCTGGCCGGGCTCTTGCTCGCAGAAGTGGCTCACCAGCATCACCTTGCGCGATGTCGTCCATGACGGACCGAAAATGACGGGAACGTCCTATCGCGTGCCGAACCGGCCGGTCGCTCCGGGTGAGGATGTCGCGGAGGAAGATTTCGTGATCATCGAGCGGATGCCTGTCAAATCACTGATCACGGCGCCGCCGACGGGCACGTCTGCGGGGCGGTCGGTCGAGGTGCGCGGGCATGCCTGGTCCGGAGACCGCCGGGTCACGGCAGTGGACGTGTCGATCGACTTCGGTGCCACATGGCAGCGCGCCGAACTCGATGAGCCGGTCAATGACGGCGCCTGGCAGAACTGGCGGACGAACGTCCGGTTTCCGCAGGCCGGCTACTACGAGGTCTGGGCGCGGGCGACGGACGATGCCGGCGCGCAACAGCCCTTCGAGATCGCCTGGAACCCGAAGGGGTATCTCAACAACACCATGCACCGCGTCGCGCTGACCGTATCCTGAAAGAAGGGTGGCCGGCGTTGGCCGGCCACCCCCGCGCCTTTCCGATGGAGCAATGATGAACCTTTCGATGATGCTGCGTCCGGCGATCGCCGGAGCGTTCATGATGACGGCTGCGGCGGCGCAGGCCGGCGAAAACGGCGAGAGTCCGTTTGGCGCGCTGGTGCCCGGTGAAGGCGCCGAGGAAACCTATGTCCACTGCGCCGCCTGCCACTCCGAGATGCTGGTCGCGCAGCAGGGCCTGACGCGCGAGCGCTGGGCGGATCTGATCGAATGGATGGTCGACGAGCAGGGCATGAACCCGATCGAAGAGCCCGACTACACGCTGGTCCTCGACTATCTGGCCGAGCACTACAACACCGACCGGCCCAACTTTCCGCGCAACTGAGGGGACCGGCCCGCTCGGATCGGCGGGCCGGCACAATGCGCCTACATCCGCGCCTGTTCGCGGATGAAGTTGCCCGAGCGCAGGTCGGCGAAGGCCTGGGCCAGTTCTTCCTGCGTGTTCATGACGATCGGGCCGTGCCATGCAACCGGCTCCTGGATCGGCTTGCCGGTGACCAACAGGAAACGGATGCCTTTCTCGCCGGACTGCACGACCACTTCATCGCCGGTGTCGAAGACGACCAGCGTCCGGTCTCCGGACAGGTCACGCAGATGAATCTCCTCGCCATTGACCTCTTTTTCGACGAGCACGCCGAAGGGTTTGGAGGCGTCGCGGAACGTGCCGGAGCCCTCGAAGATATAGGCGAAGGCCGAGCGGTAGGTGTCGATCGGCAGGGCCTTGCGCGTCAGAGGGGGCACCCAGACGTCGAGATATTGCGGGTCCGCGGCGATACCGTCGACCGGGCCCTTCTTGCCCCAGAATTCGCCGGTGATGACGCGGACGCGCGTGCCGTCGTCGTCGATCACTTCGGGAATGTCGGCGCCGGAGATATCCTGGTAGCGCGGCGTCGTCATCTTCTCGCCGGAAGGCAGGTTCGCCCAGAGCTGGAAACCGTGCATGCGGCCGGACGTATCGCCCTTGGGCATTTCCTGATGCAGGATACCGGAGCCGGCGGTCATCCACTGGACCGAGCCCGGGCCGAGCGTGCCGGCATTGCCGAGGCTGTCTGCATGATCGACGGAGCCGGCCAGTACATAGGTGATCGTCTCGATGCCGCGATGCGGGTGCCACGGGAAACCTGCCGCATACTTTTCGGGCGAATCGTTGCGGAAATCATCCATCATCAGGAACGGGTCCGTCATGGACGGATCGCCGAAGCCGAAGACGCGATGCAGATGGACCCCGGCGCCTTCCATGGTGGGCGTGGTGCCGGAGACGTGCTTGACGGGTCGAATGGACATGGCGGTCAACTCCTTTGTTGACGTCAAGATAGGGTGGATTGCCGCCACGGCACATGGGTGAACGATGGAACAGACTGTTCAACGAACGCCACCATAACCGCCGGCCGCCATCGTCAGACCGTGACGGTTTCGAGCCGTTCGGCCACCAAGGCGGCGATCCGGGCCGCCACCTCGGTCTTGTCCATCTCGGGCCAGCGTTCGGCGACGCCCTTGGAGACCAGCGTGATGCGGTTGCGGTCGCCGCCCATCACCCCTCCCTCTCCGCCAATCCCGCTGTCATGCGAGACATCGTTGGCGACGACAAAGTCCGCGCCCTTCCTGGCGAGCTTGGCCTCGGCATTGGCGACCAGATCGCGGGTTTCGGCGGCAAACCCGATGACGAGACGCGGACGCGCCGTGTCGTGCGTGCCGACCGATGCGAGAATGTCGGGGTTTTCGGTCAGCGCGACGGCTTCGATACCGCCATCGCGCTTCTTGATCTTGTCGCCCGCCTCGGTGGCGGGCCTGTAATCGGCGACCGCGGCGGCGAAGATGGCTGCGTCGGCCGGCAAAAGCTGATGCACCGCATCGTGCATGTCGCGGGCGCTTTCGACCCGCACCATCTCGACACCGACAGGGTCGGCAATGGTGACCGGCCCGGAGACCAGCCGCACCGTCGCACCCAGTTCGGCCAGCGCGGCGGCGATGGCATGGCCCTGTTTGCCGGATGAGCGGTTGGCGATGTAGCGCACCGGGTCGATCGGCTCATGCGTCGGACCGGACGTGACGATCACGGTCTTGCCGGCAAGCGGCCTGGGCCGGTTGTCGAGCAAGGCTTCGACGGCGGCAGCGATTTCCAGCGGTTCGGCCATGCGGCCATAACCCGCCTCGCCGCTCTCGGCCATCTCGCCGGCATTGGGCCCGACGAAACCGATGCCGTCGCCGGCCAGGGTCTCGCGGTTGCGGCGTGTTGCGGGGTGGTCCCACATGGCCGGGTTCATGGCCGGCGCGATGAGGACCGGCGCCGTTGCGGCCATCAGCACCGTCGAGGCCAGATCGTTCGCCAGCCCGTGCGCCATCTTGGCCATCAGATCGGCGGTCGCCGGCGCGACGACGATCAGATCGGCCTGGCGCGCCAGCCGGATATGGCCAACATCGTGCTCATCCTGCCGGTCGAACAGATCGGTAAAGACGGTATCGGCGGTGAGCGCGCCCACAGACAGCGGCGTGATGAATTCTTCGGCCGCCCTGGTCATCACGCAGCGGACGTGAGCGCCACGCTCGCGCAGCCGGCGAATGAGATCGAGGCATTTGTACGCCGCAATGCCACCACCGATGATGAGCAGGATGCGCTTGTCGACGAGGATGCCGGAGCCGACTTGCGCGGTCGCAATCGCGGCCGTTTCCGTTACAGACGGCGCGCCAGCAGGGCTTGGCTTGGCCAGCGCCCCGAAGATGATTCGGGCTTCTTCCTCCATCGACCGGTTGTTGGCAGCGGCCCGAAGCCGCAGGGCTTCCTTGGTGGCCGGATCGAGATTGCGGATCGTGATCGATGCCATGACGAATCCCTGTGATTGCAACGCAATCACATTGCACACAATATCGCAATCATTGCAATCAAATCAGCTGACGGCGATGGCGATCCAGATGGCAGCCAGCGCGATCACCCACAGGGCGACCCTGCCCCAGCGGCTTTCGCGTGCCTCGGCCTTGCCGATCCGGGCCACCGTTTCCGGCGCCAGCTTCAGTCCGTGCTCGGCCATGGCGCCGATGTCGCGGGTCAGCCGCTCGGTACGATCGGCCAGTTCGGGCAGTTGCCGCGCGATTCGGATAGCCGAATGCACGCCGTCGCGGGCATCGTTGACGAGCGCGGCGGGGCCGAGATTGCGCCTGACCCAGTCGGACACGATCGGTTCGGCTGCCGCCCACATGTCGAAATGCGGGTCGAGCACCCGCGCATTGCCCTCGACGACGACCATTGTCTTTTGCAGTAACAGAAGTTCGGGCCGGGTCTGCATGTCGAAAATGTCGGTGACATCGAACAGCAGCGTCAAAAGGTTGCCCATGGAGATGGTGTCCGCCGACTGGTCGCGGATCGGCTCGCCCACCGCGCGCAGGGCCTGGGCGAAGGCCTCGATGTCGTGGTGCGGCGGCACATAGCCGGCCTCGAAATGCACTTCGGCGACGCGGCGGTAATCGCGCCGGATGAAACCGTAGAGGATCTCGGCTAGGAAGCGCCGCTCCTTGATGCCGATGCGGCCGGCAATGCCCAGATCGACGGCAACGATGTCGCCATTGGTGTCGACGAACAGATTGCCCGGATGCATGTCGGCGTGAAAGAAGCCGTCGCGCACTGCATGGCGCAGGAAAGACTGGATGACGTTGACGGCAAGGCGCGGCAGATCGTGTCCGGCGGCCTTGAGCGCATCGACGTCGCTCATCTTTATGCCGTCGATCCACTCCATTGTCAGCACGTCCCTGCCGGTGCGCTGCCAGTCGACCTTGGGCACGCGGAAGCCTGGATCGTCCTTCGTGTTCTCGGCCAGTTCGGACAGGGCCGCGCCTTCGAGGCGCAAATCCATCTCGATGCGCGTCGACTGGGCGAGCGTCTCGGCGATGGCGACGGGGCGCAGCCGGCGGGTCGAGGGGATATAGCGCTCCTGCATGCGGGCAAACAGGAAGAAGGCCTCCAGATCGCGGTCGAAACGGCTGCGCACGCCCGGTCGGATCACCTTGACGGCAACCCTGCGCTCGCTGCCGTCGGCGGCGCGGGTGATGCCGGGATGGACCTGGGCGATCGACGCGGCGGCGATCGGCTCGTCGAGGCGCGCATAGAGATCGTCCACGGGGAGGCCCAGCGATTCCTCGATGCGGGCATGGGCCTGGGCGCTCGGAAAGCTCTCCATATTGTCCTGCAGCGTGGCCAGATCGACGGCCATCTGCAGACCGATAATGTCGGGCCGGGTGGCGAGGAACTGGCCGAGCTTGGCATAGGACGGGCCGAGCCGGGCGATGGCCTTGGTCATGCGCTGGGCGCTGTCGAGACCCTCCGAGCGTTTGCGCGCCAGCCGGGTGGCGATCTTGTGCCCGGTGAGTGCCGGCCCCGAAAGGCCCTGTCGCGGCAGGGCGGCGATCACGCCCTCGCGCGCCAGCACCCAGACCGCGCGCAAAAGGCGCATGGCAGCGAAAAGGCTGGTCATCGGGTCAGAGTTTCCAGCCCGAATGGAGCGCCGCGACACCGCCCGAATAATTGCGCCACGTCACGCGCTTGAATCCCGCCTCGCCGATCATCGTGGCGAAATCAGCCTGGCGCGGAAACTTGGCGATCGACTCGACCAGATAGCGATAGGGCTCGCCATCGCCGGCAACCGTCTGGCCGATCCGCGGGATGGCGTTGAACGACCAGGCTTCATAGACGCGGTCGAAAACCGGCATGTCCACCTCGGAAAATTCAAGGCACAGGAACCGGCCGCCCGGCTTGAGCACGCGCCGCGCCTCGCGCAATGCCTTGGGAATATCCGGCACGTTGCGGATACCGAACGCGATCGAATAGGCATCGAACGCCGCATCGCCGAAGGGAAGCTCCTCGGCATTCGCCTCGACGAAATCGACATGGTCGGACAAGCCGCGTGCGTCCGCCCGTTCGCGGCCGACATCGAGCATCGATCCGTTGATATCGAGCACGGTGACATGGGCGTTTCCGCGCGAGGCTTCGACCGCGCGAAAGGCAATGTCGCCAGTGCCGCCGGCGACATCGAGCATGCGCCAGCCCGGCCGTTTGGGCGGCGCCAGCGCGGCGATCATCGCGTCCTTCCAGACACGGTGCAGGCCGAACGACATCAGATCGTTCATCACATCATACCGGCGCGCGACCGTATGGAAGACATCGTCGACGCGGGCCTGCTTCTCACTCTCGGCGACCTGGGAAAAGCCGAAGCTGCGCTTCATCGCGTCGCCGGCGCCGGTTCTGGATGTGGACATGGGACCCCGCCATGAAAAAGGTGCGTGCGTTCAGGCTGCCGCCCGATGTAGAGCAAAACGGGCGACAAGAAAACGGCCCAGCCTATGCCCGTCCGCGGCCATGGGCCGCAAGCTGCCCTTTCGTCGCGGGGAACGCGCAAGGAGATCGCGATGGTGCCGAAGGCCGAACTGCATTGTCATATCGAAGGGGCGGTGAGCCCGGCGCTTGCGCTGGCGCAGGCGGAACGCCACGGCGCGGACCTGTCGGAGATCGTCGTTGACGGCGCATACCGATGGACCGACTTCACCGCGTTCCTCAACGTGTACGACACGGTGGCGGCGCTGTTTCGCACGCGCGACGACTATGCGCGTCTGGCGCACGACTATCTGTCCTCGCTGGCTGCCGACGGCTGCCTTTATTCGGAGATCTTCATCTCCACCGATCATGCCGAGCAGACGGGCCTTTCCCCGCACGCCTATATTGACGGGCTCGCCGAGGGGATCGAGCGAGCGAAAGCCGAGACGGGAATCGAGGGTCGGATGATCGCGACCGGCTTGCGCCATGGCGGGCCCGAGGCGGTGGAACGGGCGGCACGGTTCGCCACCGACAACCCGCATCCGCTGATCACCGGTTTCGGCATGGCGGGCGACGAGCGGATGCATCATCCCAAAGACTTCGCGCCGGCCTTCGACATTGCGCGCGATGCTGGCCTCCGGATCACCGTCCATGCGGGCGAACTGGCGGGCGCCGAAAGCGTGCGTGACGCGCTCGACCATCTGCGGCCCGAACGCATCGGCCACGGCGTCCGGGCCATCGAAGACCCGGCGCTGGTGGAACGGCTTGCCGAGGAAAGGATCGTCCTCGAAATCTGTCCGGCCTCCAACATCGCGCTCGGGGTCTTTGCCGACTATGCGTCCCATCCGTTCAACAGACTGCGAGACGCCGGCGTCAAGGTGACGCTCAGCTCCGACGATCCGCCGCATTTCCATTCCTCGCTTGCCAACGAGTACCGGATCGCAAGCGACCATTTCGGCCTCGACGATGCTGCGCTCAAAGGGATTACGCGGACGGCAATCGAGGCGGCATTCTGCGATGACGACACGCGCACCAAGCTCCTCGGCAAACTCGATCGCGAAGGCATTTGACTGTGAACCGCAGCATGGCGCGGCGCGCATTGGCTTTCACCCGGTCGGTCGCCGCGCTAGGCTTGTCCGGCTCAACCGTTGCAAGGCGCTCTTCATGAAACAGGTCAATGTCGTCGATCACCCGCTCGTCCAGCACAAGCTGACGCAGATGCGCAAACGGGAAACCTCCACGGCGGGGTTCCGCCGCCTTCTGGGCGAGATTTCGCATCTTCTTTGCTATGAGGCGACGCGCGAACTGCCGATGACCAAGGAGACGATCGAGACGCCGCTCACCGACATGGAAGCGCCGATCCTGGCGGGCAAGAAGCTGGTCTTCGCCTCGGTCTTGCGTGCCGGCAACGGCCTGCTGGAAGGCATGCTCGACCTCGTCCCGTCGGCCCGTGTCGCCCATATCGGTCTCTACCGCGATCCGGAAACGCTGGAGCCGGTCGATTATTATTTCAAGGCGCCCGACGATCTGTCCAACCGGCTGACCATCGTCGTCGATCCGATGCTGGCCACGGCCAACTCGGCGATCGCGGCGGTGGACAAGCTGAAAGAGCGCGGGGCGGCGAATCTGCGGTTCGTGTGCCTTCTGGCCGCGCCCGAAGGGATCGACAAATTCGTCAAGGCGCATCCGGACGTACCGATCATCACCGCCTCGATCGACAGCCATCTCAACGATCATGGCTATATCGTGCCGGGGCTCGGCGATGCGGGCGACCGCATGTACGGCACGAAATAGATAACGTTCGATCTTTTTCGGGAAATCCTTGTTTACCTTTTTCGCAGGGCGGTCCCCGGTTTAGCCCTTTGGGAAGGCGGACATGGCATCCTCTTTCGGCGGAGGCATGCCATGGTGCGCTATCTCTTCATCTTCGGCGCGGTCAGCTTTGCGGCGGTCGCGTTTTCCGACTTCGTCTCGGATCGCGCGGTCGCTCCCGATTCGCGCAACGCCGCCATCGACATGCCCGTATCGGACGGGGAGCCGGCGGTGCATTCCGCCGCGCTTTCGGGCATGGAGCGGCTGCGCGCCGATGCACGCGGGCATCATGTCGCCGAATTCGAGCTCAACAATTTGCGGGTTCAAGGTCTGATCGATACGGGCGCCACCACCGTCGCGCTCAATGAATCCACAGCACGGCGCGCCGGCATTCGCCTGTCGCCGGCGGACTTCGTCTATCCGGTCCAAACCGCCAATGGAACGGTCATGGGCGCCCGCGCCGTGATCGACAAGGTACGCGTCGGCTCGGTGCGCGTGCGCCAGGTGGAAGCGCTGGTGCTGGAAGACCGGGCGCTGAACACCGTGCTGATCGGCATGAGCTTCCTGAACAGGCTACGAAGCTTTTCCTACGAGAACGGAACGCTGGTCCTGAAACGTTAGCCGGTTATGGTTTCAGCGATGACGGGCCGCGTTGCGGGCGCCGCTTCGGCGATCGATACGGCGCTCAGGACGGCTTGACGCGCGCGCTCAAGGGAGGCCGCATCCCGCGCGTGGATACGGACGACCGGATCGCCCTTCTGTATCGATGTGCCAACCGGCACGATCCGGTCGAGCCCGACCGCATGGTCGATCTCGTCCTCGCGGCGGCGTCGACCGCCGCCCATCTCGACGACAGCAACGCCGAGCGCCCGTGTCTGGACGCCCGAAACGAAACCGCCGGAAGGCGCCGGCACGTCCTCGATCAGAGGCGCGACGGGCAGATGGTCGCGAAAGCTGTCGACGAAGCCAGCCGGGCCGCCCAGGCCATGCACCATCCTGCCGAAGAGTTCGGTTGCACGGCCATCATCCAGCGCGGCCCGGGCCGTTGCGATGGCGGCGTCGCGATCGGTTTCAAGTTCTGACTGGAGGAGCATTTCGCCGACCAGCGTCAGGACGACCGTTTCAAGGCGCGGATCGCGATCATCGCCGGTCAGGAAACGCACCGCGTTCGCCACCTCCACCGCATTGCCGGCGGCAGACGCGAGCGGCTCGTTCATATCGGTCAGGATGGCCGCCGTCCTTGTGCCGGCGCCGTTGGCGACCTGCACGAGGCTTTCGGCCAGCGCGCGGGTCTCGGCGATATCATCGATAAACGCGCCATTGCCGAACTTGACGTCGAGCACCAGCGCGCCGAGGCCGGCGGCCAGCTTCTTGGACAGGATCGAGGCGGTGATCAGTGACAGGTTCTCGACCGTCGCGGTCACGTCGCGCACGCCATAGATGCGCTTGTCGGCGGGCGCGAGGTCACCAGTCTGGCCGATGATCGCACAACCGATGTCGCGTGTTATGGTGCGGAACAGCGTGTTGTCCGGCGCAACATTGTAGCCGGGGATCGATTCCATCTTGTCGAGCGTTCCGCCGGTATGGCCAAGGCCCCGCCCTGAGATCATCGGCACGGCAAGGCCGCAGGCGGCGGCGATCGGCGCCAGCATGAGCGAGACATTGTCGCCGACGCCTCCGGTCGAATGCTTGTCGCAGACCGGCCGGTCGATGTCCGACCAGTCGAGCACGTCACCGCTGTCGCGCATTGCCAGGGTCAACGCGACAGTTTCGTCGCGGTCCATGCCGTTGAAGAAGACCGCCATAGCGAGCGCGGAAATCTGCGCATCGGTGACCGAGCCGTCGGTGACGCCGGCGATGAACTCAGCGATCCGGGCCTGCGAAAGCGCGCCGCCGTCGCGCTTGATGCGTATGATCTCCTGAGCAAGCACGGCTAACCGGCCTCGGCGACGAAGCGGCTCAAGATCTTCTGAAGGCGCCCACCGCCGACCGGCGCCATGTCCTTGGTTTCCTGGTGGGACAGTTCGCCGCCGGTCATGCCAGCACCGAAATTGGTGATCACCGAACAAGCCGCGCAATTGAGCCCGACGAACCGGCCCAAGATCACTTCGGGCACGGTCGACATGCCGACCGCGTCGGCACCAAGCGTGCGTGCCATGCGGATTTCGGCCGGTGTCTCGAAGCTCGGCCCCGAGAACCACATATAGACGCCCTCGCCCAGCTCGATGTTCTCGGCACTGGCCGCGGCGCGCAGCCGGTCGCAAAGGCCGGCATCATAAGCGCTCGTCATACCGACAAAACGGCGGTCGTTTTCCTCGCCGATCAGCGGGTTGGTGCCGGCGAAGTTGATGTGATCGGTGATCAGCATCACCGAACCGGGCGGCAGGTCTTCACGCAACGAGCCGGCTGAGTTGGTCAGGATAAGGTTCCTGATGCCAAGGCCGTGCAGGATCTCGATTGCCGGGCGCATCACCGCCGCATCGCCCTTTTCGTAGTAGTGGGCGCGGCCGGACAGCATCATGACCGGCTTGCCGGACAGTTTGCCGGCAACCAGTTCGCCGGCATGACCGCTGACGCCCGATGCGGGAAAACCGTCCAGTTCCTCATAAGGCAGGTGCACCGCATCCTCGATCGCCGCGACAAGGCCGCCAAGTCCGGAACCCAGAATGAAGGCCGTCTGCGGTGCCAGCCCCTCGAGCCGCTCGATGATGTGATCGATGGTGGTGATCATGTCGTCAGCACGTCCCCGTCAAAGCCGAGCGGAAAGATCTCGGCCATGGTCAGCGTCCTTGCAATCTTGCCGTCGGCGCACAGATGCAGCCTTGCGTCCGGCGGCGCGAATTCGGCGAGACGCTGGCGGCAGCCTCCACAGGGCGTGCAGAGCGGCAAGCGCTCGGCGATGACGCAGATATCGGTGATCGTGCCGCCTTCGCCCATCACATAATGCGACAAGGCCGTCGTTTCGGCGCACCAGCCTTCCGGATAGGACGCCACCTCGATATTGCCGCCGGCAAAGATGCGGCCGTCCTCGGTCATGATCGCGGCGCCGACGGGAAACCGCGAATAGGTCGGGCGGGACTTGCCCATCGCGTCCTTTGCTGCCGCCAGAAGATCGTCGAGGCCGGCCATCGTCAGCGCTCCTTCACATAGGGCTGGCCGCCGGCCTTGGGCGGGATGGCCTTGCCGATGAAGCCCGCCAGCAGGACCACGGTGAGGATATAGGGCAGCGACTGCATGAATTGCGGCGGAACCTCGAACAGGCCGATATCGATCCCGGCAAAGCGGATGGCCACCGCGTCAAGGAAGCCGAACAGCAGGCAGGCGAACATGACGGGCACCGGTTTCCACTTGGCGAAGATCAGCGCAGCCAGCGCTATGAAGCCCTTGCCGGCTGTCATGTCCTTGACGAAGCCCGCATTCTGCGCGACCGCCAGATAGGCGCCCGCAAAACCGCACAAAATGCCGGTGCACATCACGGCCCGATAGCGCAGCCAGGTCACCGAGATGCCGGCCGTGTCGACCGCTCCCGGGTTTTCCCCGACGGCGCGCAGGCGCAAGCCGAACCTGGTCCTGAACAGGACCCACCAGGTAAAGGGCACCGCCGCGAAGGCCAGATAGACCAGGATCGAATGGCCCGAGATCAGCTCGGAGTAGACCAGGCCGAGGACCGGCACGTCGCGAACCGCTTCGGCGAACGGCAGGTCGATCGCGGTAAAACGGCTTCCCTCGGCGCTGAGGGCCGGCGTACGGCCACCCTGACGGAACCAGGCCTGCCCCAAAATGATCGTCGTGCCCGCAGCAATGAAGTTGATGGCAACCCCGGAGACGATCTGGTTGCCCCGGTGGGTGATCGAGGCAAAGCCGTGCACCAGCGCCAGCGCCGTCGACACGATGATCGCGAAGAACAGGCCGATCCAGGCACTGCCATAGACGGCGGCCGCGGCCGCGCCGGCGAAGGCGGCGGCCAGCATCTTGCCTTCAAGGCCGATGTCGAAAATGCCCGACCGTTCGGAATAGAGCCCGGCGAGCGCAGCGAACATCAGCGGAATCGCCAGCCGGACGGTGGAATCGAGGATCAGGATCAGTGTTTCAAACATGCCCATGACCGCCCCCTATTCGCCCGGCTGCGGCGTGGGCTTGAGCGTCCCGCCGCCGGCCATGTGGAACATCCGCGCGATGGTCGGCCGGAACATGTGCTCGAGCGCGCCGGCAAACAGGATCACCAGACCCTGGATGATGACGATCATGTCACGCGAGATGGTGGGCATCTCAAAGGACAGTTCGGCGCCCCCCTGGTAGAGCATGCCGAACAGGATCGCCGCGGGAATGATGCCGGCCGGATGCGACCGCCCCATCAGCGCCACGGCAATGCCGACAAAGCCTGCTCCGGCGACGAAGTTCATCTGCAGGCGCGTCTGGTCGCCCATCACAGGGTTGAGCGCCATCATGCCCGCCATGGCGCCCGACACCATCATCGCGATGACGATCACCTTGGTCTGGTTGATGCCGGCATATCTGGCGGCCGTCGGCGAAAAGCCCATGGTGCGGATTTCGTAGCCAAGTCGGGTGCGCCAGATCAAAACCCAGACGCCAAACGCGGCTGCAAGCGCAAGCAGGAAGGTGATGTTGAGCGGTGCCGAGCGGATCGTCAGGCCGAACATTTCCAGCATCCAGTCGAGCCGCGGAAGCTGCGCGCCCTCGGCAAAGGTGCGTGTTTCGGGCGCCATGGAACCGACGGGCTTGAGTGGGCCGACCAGCAGATAGACCATCAGGCTGGCGGCGATGAAGTTGAACATAATGGTCGTGATGACGACGTGGCTGCCGCGCGTCGCCTGCAGCCAGGCAGGAATCAACGCCCAGAGAGCGCCGGTCAGCGCGGCCATGATCGTCGCCAGCGGCAGGTTGATCCACCAGGGAAAGACCGAGTCGAAGGCCAGGCAGACGATCGCAACTCCGAGGCCGCCGACATAGGCTTGTCCCTCGCCGCCAATGTTGAACAGGCTGCAATGGAAAGCGACGGCCATGCAAAGGCCGGTGAAGATGAAGTTCGTCGCGTAAAAGAGCGTATAGCCGATGCCGTCGCCCGAACCGAACGCGCCCTGCACGAGAAGCTGCGCGGCGCGCACCGGGTTTTCGCCCACCAACAGCACGACGAGACCGGCGACAAGAAAAGCCACGGTCACGTTGATGAGCGGGATCAGGCCGTAATCGACCCAGGCGGGCAGTTTGGCGTAAGGGGCAGCCATGGGTTCGGTTTACTCCATATAGCCCCGTTCGCTCAGGAATTGCCTGAGCGCAACGGGAAACGCGGTGCGGCCGATGCGGTCTTCGGGACAGTCATAGGCTTCCGTCCCTTCGTCTTTGCAGAACGTCATGCCCCAGTCCGGCTCGGGATCGAAATCATTGTCCGCCAGCGCGAACGGGTCTTCTTCGCCAAGGCGCAGCTGCATCGCCGCATGGGCCGCCAGCCATGAATTGAGCGTTTCGCCTTCATCCGGCATCGCGCCCATGTTGCGGACAGCAGAGCGAAGCACATACTCATACTCCGGCTCGCCGGTCACGTCGGCGATCGCGCCATCGCGCAGCGCGAGTACGATTGTCGGTGCGAACGAGCCCGCATAGGACGCGAACGCATAAAGAAACCCGTTGTCCAGCGTGATGATCTCGGCGATGCCGTCGCCGGTCACGTCATGGGGGTAATTGGCGGCCGGATCGCCGTCAAAGGCGCCAACCTCGATCTCGGTCCATTTCCCGTCGCCTCCTTCGGCGACGATGGAGACCAGATTGCAGCAATGGGCACCACCGCTGTAGCGCGACACGAACAGTTCCGGCGCATCGTTGGACGCATCCATCTCGACAAGCTTGAGGACCGGCGCCTGAAAGAGCGAGAACATCTCGTCATAGGTGCGCTCGAAAACCATCTCGCCTTCGGACGAGACCGAAACCGCCGCCTCGAACATACCGTCACCGGCCTCACGCACCTGCATGGAGACGGCCGTTTCGTCGAGCGCCATCGCGTAGGTGCCAACCGCGTCGGGTTCGACGAGTATCTGCGCCTGGGCGGCCGCCAACGGAAAAGCGGCGGCAACCGCGCCAGCGATCATCAGGCGGAGGACCCTATTCACTCCGCCGCCTCCCTTGTCGGCTCGCCCTCGACGCCGGCCATCAGAAGGCCCAGTTCGCCCTCGGTCGCGTCCGGACCACGTTCGCCGACGACACGGCCCGCAAACATGACCAGAATCCGGTCCGACAGGGAGCGGATCTCATCGAGCTCCACCGAGATCAGCAGAACGGCCTTGCCCGCATCGCGCATCTCGATGATGCGCTTGTGGATGAACTCGATCGCGCCGACATCGACGCCGCGCGTCGGCTGACCGACGATCAGGACGGTCGGGTCCTGCTCCATCTCGCGGGCGAGCACGATCTTCTGCTGGTTGCCGCCGGAGAAGTTGGCCGTCTTCAGCCGGCAATTGGGCGGACGGATGTCGTATTTTTCGATCTTGTCGCGCGCATCGGAGCGGATGCCGTCGATATCCAGCATCGGCCCGTTCACATATTCGGCGTCGCCGTGATAGCCCAGGATCGAGTTCTCGTTCTCCTCGAACTGCAACACCAGGCCCATATGATGGCGGTCTTCGGGCACATGGGCCATGCCGCGCTTGCGCAGCATGAAGGGGTCGGCCTCGCCGGTGACGCCGATCGGCTCCCCATCGAGCAGGACCCGTCCCGTTTCGGCACGCCTGATGCCGGCGATGGCTTCGATCATCTGGCTCTGGCCGTTGCCCGCCACGCCGGCAATGCCAACGATCTCGCCGGCGCGCACGTCAAACGACACATTGTCGACCATCACGACGCCGCGGCCGTCCTTGACGGTGAGATTTTCGACGGACAGCTTCACCGCGCCGGGTTTCGCCTCGCCCTTTTCGACGCGCAGCAGGACATGCCGGCCGACCATCAGTTCGGCCAGTTCCTCGACCGATGTCTCGGACGTCTTGCGGGTGGCGACCATCTCGCCCTGGCGCATGACGGAGACATTGTCGGTGACCGCCATGATCTCGCGCAGCTTGTGCGTGATCAGGACGATCGTCTTGCCCTGCTCCTTGAGCTGCTCGAGAATGCGGAACAAATGATCGGCCTCGGCCGGCGTCAGCACGCCCGTCGGCTCGTCGAGAATGAGGATTTCGGCACCGCGATAGAGCGCCTTGAGGATCTCGACGCGCTGCTGCAGCCCAACGGGCAGTTCCTCGATGATGGCATCGGTGTCGACCTGGAGCGCATATTCCTCTTCCAGGCGCTTGAGTTCCTTTCGGGCCTTGGTGATCGAGCCGCTGATCAGTTGCGCGCCCTCGGCGCCGAGCATGACATTCTCCAGAACGGTGAAGTTCTCCACCAGCATGAAATGCTGGTGCACCATGCCGATTCCCATGGCGATGGCGTCATTGGGCGTATTGATCGTGACGGGCTTGCCATCGACTTCGATCTGACCGGAGTCGGCCTGGTAGAAGCCGTACAGGATCGACATCAGGGTCGACTTGCCCGCCCCGTTCTCGCCGATGATGCCGTGGATGGTTCCCTTTTGAACCGCAAGGTTGATGTTCTTGTTGGCATGCACAGGGCCGAAACTCTTGTTGATGCCGGTCAGTTCGATTGCATAAGGCGCCATGCGGGTCCCGTCGGTCGCAGAAATCCATGCTTCAAAATTGCCGAACCCTAGCATCTTGATTGCTTGAATCCAGCCCGAAAACGCCGTCTGTTGCGCCGCGCGATCGCCGCATTTGTCCGGCGAGACCGCTTGGACTGGACAGGGGCGCCATGCTAGCCTTGACCGCTCACACGGGACCGCCAATGGCCAAGACCGACACGGAACGACTGGACGATCTGGAGATTCTGGCCGCCCACCAGGCGCAGATGATCGACGATCTCAACGAAGTCGTCGTTTCGCAGGGCGAGGTGATCGCCGACCTGCGGCGGAAGCTGGAAGTGCTGGCCCGGCGTTTCTCCGAGGCCGAAGAGCGCATGCGGGAAGCCGTTCCCATCGACAAGCCGCCACATTGGTAAGCACAATACGGGCCCGCGGCCATGGCGCTTGATCCCGACCTTCTGGGACCGATCCTGACCGGCGCGCTGATCGTCGCGCTGTTTGCCGGCTTTGCGCGCGAATGGCGCGCGCCCGAAGTGATCGCCGGGCTGGGCGTCGCGGTGCTCCTTGTCGCCGGCATCATCGAGACCCCGGACGTGCTGGCGGTCTTCTCCTCGCCGGCGATCACGACCATCGCGTCGATGTTCGTCCTGTCGGCGGGACTTGTGCGCACCGGCGCGATGGACCGGTTCGCGCGCTTTGCGACAGAGCATGCGCGGTCGAGCCCGGCCCTGTCCTTCTTCGCCTTTCTGGGCGCCACGGCCGCGATGAGCGCGTTCATGAATAATACGCCCGTCGTGATGCTGATGATCCCGGTCGCAGTGCAGATCGCCCGCCAGACCGGACAGGCGTCGTCCAAGCTTCTCATTCCTCTGTCCTATGCGGCGATCCTGGGCGGCACGTGCACGCTGATCGGCACATCGACCAACCTTCTGGTCGATACTGTCGCCCGCGACCAGGGTCTGGCACCGTTTTCCATCTTCGAGATCGCACCGGTCGGGCTCATCGCCGCCACCGCCGGCATCACCGTCATGTTCTTTGCGCGGCGCCTTCTGCCCGACCGCCAGTCGGTGACGACCCTCGGCACGGCACAGCCTGGCCGGCGCTTCATCGTCCAGGCGGTGATCGACGAGGGCTCGCCGCATGTGGGCGCACGCGCAAGGGAGGTGATCGCCTTCAACCAGCCGGAACGGCGGATCATCGACGTGCTGCGCGGCGACGCCTCGCTGCGGCGCGATCTGGACGATGTCATCCTCGAGCCCGGCGACATCGTCGTCCTGCGGTCGTCGGTCGCCGAAATCCTGTCGATGAAGGAAGAAGGGCAACTGGGCGGCGACAACACGCTGCAGCAGACCGGCTCACGCTCATCGGCGATGATCGAGATCCTGATCGGGCCGAGTGCACGCGTTCTGGGACGCACGCTGCGGCATCTGCGCCTGCGGCGGCGCTTCGGCATTTATCCGATCGCCCTGCACCGGGGCGGCATGAACATGGCCGACCGCTTCGAAACCACGCCGCTGGCGGTCGGGGACACGCTGCTCATCGAGGGTGCGCCGGAAGATCTGACGCGCTTTGCCGACGAAAACAATCTGGTCAACGTGTCCGAGCCGTCCGAACGCGGCTTCCGCCGCGACAAGGCGCCGCTGGCGATCGGCATCGCGCTCGCCGTCGTCGCCGGTGCGGCACTGAACATCATGCCGATCGCCGGCATCGCCATGATCGGCGCGGTCCTGGTTCTTGTGACGCGGTGTGTCGAGGTGGACGAGGCGGTGCAGGCGGTCGACTGGCGGGTGCTCGGCCTTATCGCCGGAATGCTGGCGATCGGGACGGCGATGCAGAAGACCGAACTGGTGACGATCATCGTCGATGCGATCGAACCCTGGCTCATGGGCCTTGCGCCGATCGTCGCCCTGGCTTGCGTCTATCTTCTGACGACGGCGCTGACCGAACTGGTCACCAACAATGCGGTCGCCGTCATCGTCACGCCGGTCGCCATCGGGCTGGCACAGGCGCTCGGCCTCGATCCGCGACCGTTCGTCGTGGCGGTGATGATCGCGGCGTCGGCGAGCTTCATCACGCCGATCGGCTATCAGACCAACACGCTGGTCTACAATGCCGGCGGCTACCGGTTCACGGACTTCCTGCGTCTGGGCCTGATCATGGACGCAACGACATTCGCCACCGCCATGGCGATCATTCCGCTGGTGTGGCCGCTCGTGCCGGCGTGACGATCCGCTCGACGCGGAATTCGTCCATGTGATCGAAGAGGCAGAGTTCCGGCGGGCCGAGACGGAACGGCGGGAACAGGTCGCCAATCTCGGCGGCAAGCGATTGCGTAACCGTGTCGAAGCCCTCGGCTTCGGTCTCCGACGGCCAGCGCACGAGATAGGCGAGCGTCAGGTGAAACCGGTAATCCGCGTGACCGGGGCGCGCCTGAAGGCCGGTGGCCTCGGCCAGACGATCCCTGTAGGTCCGGATGGCTCTTTCCTCGCCGGCCGTCGCAGGCGCCAGCGCGATGCCTAGCCCGTGGCTGGCGAGGCCGGAAAATCCGGTCGCAACCATGTGGATGGACGTATCGGGCGGATCGACGGTCGCCATGCGGTCCAG